TATACACACACATATATATATATATATATATATATATATATTCGATTTGATAAAATATTGTCATTTCTCAATTTAAGCAATAAAAGACGTACTTATTTTAGAACATTTTTGTGCAAATTTGCAACTAATATCGACTTATTTGATAGAGATAGCATCATTGTAATCTATATTCTACATCTATACTATGTATATAATCAATATATTGTAATTTATATATTGTAATAATTTATATATAATGTATATATGTAATTACATATTGTAAATTATATTAATTGCACGAAATTGAGAAAAATGCACATAATACATAACGCAAAGTTTACAAAATTAATATATATCCAATAAATACTCGTTGTCTGTTAGACATTTTATTTTAAAATTATTCTAGAATTTAATAGTCTGTTTTTGATACGAAAGTTAATAAATACGGAAAATTTTTATTTCTAAATTTCGTAGTTTCAATTATCTTTTTAATTATTATAATGCGTAACATAAAAATGATTAAATGTATGTGATTTGATATTAAGCCAACGATACAATATTAATTTCTCACTCGCGAAATGTAATACTTGCTCTTTCGATAATGCAAATTCGCAATTTGTCAAAATTATTTAGAAGTTCGGGATTTTGTCAATTAAATATATTCATGAATTTGTGAATTGAAATTAAATATTTGTTAAATAAATGAATAATATTTGTTAAATAAATGTATAATTAATATTAAAAACATCGCGTTTTTTTTCGTCTTTTTGGTTTGAGGCGCGATTGCTATCTTATTGTCTTTCGTGTAAATACTAACGCGGTTCGTACTATCGAAGAAATGGTCTTTATTGAAATATAATTTCTCGTCGGTTTTTGAACAATTAATCCACAACGAATTCTTCGTTGAAAAGGGGTTTTCGTTGCAGAGCTGGAATTAAACCCAGGTTTTTTCGATAGTTCCTGGAAGCAATAATTTTAACAATGAGTTAACGACAGATTTTTTAAAAGTCGAATTACAAAATTATAATTAAATAATATACTTTGAATAAAGAATTTTTTTTCTTTTATTAAATCTTTTTCTGTTATTATTATTCTTAATATTAATATCGGTTTAAAAATTTTTTATCACTTTGGAAAAGACTTATTGTTAGTAGTAAAGCATTGAACATGGATATAGCTATTATATAGAGATAAATATTAATTTACCAAATAGGTAAATTTAAATTGTAATTTATTTGTTCATCTCTGTACTTTTTTTAACAAAATATATGGTTACGAACGAATATATTTTATTAATTGATTTTTAATTAACTTTACTTTTGATCTCTTTTAAGAGATCATTTCTAGGTGTTGGACATCCTGTCATTTTAAGTCATTAATATTAATTTTTAAGTATAACTTTCGCTTGTTACTTTATATAGAAAATTTGTTAGATATTTTACATGCAGGAAATATACGCGCAAAATGTGACACATTTGATAAAACTTTTCTTTTGTTAATATTATAGTATATCAATAATATACACAAATACACACAAATATACGAAATGTACAAGTACTAAAAAATTCGAGGCAAGTCGAATGGGTACCCTGATATCAGTAAGATATCGACATATTAAAATATTATTAAATATATTATAAAAGAATTAATAATTTTTTATTTTACGTCGCGAAATATTAAATACGAAGTTTGTCAAAATCTTGCTATTATTGGGTTCGACTCGTCTCGAACAGTTGGTACCCGAAAATTATTGTACTCGTACATTTAACAAGATGCGATAAATGCGCAAATGTTTCATGATTCTTAAACATACTCGTTTGTAACCATGCACAGTTCCATAAAAAATAGTTATATTATAATAGTTTCATTATTTATTAATAAAAAGACATTTCTAAATAATAGAAGAACATTTTTTCGCGTAAATTTCGATCTTGTGACTGAAAGATGGTGATGATAATTGTCATTAATTCATTGAAATGTTAAAATCATTGCTATTGGGAATGGTCTGGAAGATCTGAGAGTCGTTCCATTTTGCAGCGGAACTCTTGATATTTGACGAGTCGTTTAATTTTCCTTTGCGGATCAATCTCGATAGAATTCTACGTAAAACATACGTTAAAAAATAGTCGCTCTCTACATTTAATATTGTTCTTTTTTTACCTGTCGGATATTAACTGACAATCGGGCGAAATTATTTTAATTTTTCGAATTGTTATCATCAGATTATCCGCGAGATATTTTCATCTTATATTTAATTGCTATTATTATTTTTTTACTTGATCATTGGCTTATACAAAATTTCGCTTATTTTTTCACGTGTCAAACTTTCTTAAAAAATTAAAACGTATCAATATAAATACTTTTCTTTTTGTAATTAAAAGATATAATTGATGATAAGATATAATAATTAATGAAGAAATATAATAGATAATGTAAATGTATTGGCGATTTTTTCATCGCAACTTATTCATATTACGCAATCCTTAATAAGTTTTGTAATAAAAAGTCGATAATTAATAAATATCACGAATAATTTGAATCGTCTGTTTGAAAATCATTTGATTTAATTTTGAATGAATGTTGTGTATTTCAGACATTTTCGTGTAATTTTGTATCATAAGATATTTTGTACTGATTTATAAATATTATAATTATATTTATAAATTATATATTGTAATTGTATTATATAAATATTATAAATTCTTATCATAAATATATTGTATATGTTGTAAATATTATTATATATTGTAATAATATTTTATAAACTATTTATGTTATACTTTATAGATCAATTATTGTATATTCTATATTGAATATGAATTATATATTAATTGTATTAAATACATACAATAGTGTATATTGTATATATTTTCAATACTTTATAAGTAAAATAATTTTGTAATGATAAAATAATTATAATAAAAATTTTACCTCTTCGATGGTATCTCCACCTTAACGAAGGCATTTGCCGGGTGAGGAGGTTTGAGTATTCTAATGATCCGGAGAGCTATGCCGGCAGTAACATAGGCCGGTATTACAACTTGTTTTTATATTGTATTTAATCATCTTATATATAATCTTAAATCGTATCTTAAAATTCTGTTCAGTCTCAATGAAATAATAAACATTTTCTAAATTTTACTTAAAACGATTTTAAATATAAGACTGTGTGAACACCGGCCTTCATTACTGGTAGGGTCACCCATGCCGGACAGGTCAAAGAGAAAGAGTCAGACTAAGAGAGATACGCCGTAATTATAATTATTATATTAATAATTATTAATTATTAATATAATAATTATATTATAATATATTATATTATAATGCTTAGTTAATAATTATTACATATTTTAAGATGGTTAATAATTATTACATATTTTAAGATGGAAGAGAGTAAAAGAATGATAAAACCATAAGAAAAAACAAGCACGAGTCCCTATGGTCATGGGAATGCGACAGATCACAACACTGCAAAGATTTGAAGAAGAAGATGCATCTGATAAACATGCGTAATAATTAAGAATAGCTTGCAATTAAGTCGACTAATAATAGTAATACTTTATAATTATGTTACACTTTATAATTTAGCACATTGTATTATATATACATAAAGCATCAAGCATTAAATATTTTGCTGTTATGAAAATTATAATAAAACAATATAAAAAAATTTGCTACATAAAGTGGAACATTCGAAAGCATATTCACTGACAAAATACTATTAAAGATCGATGATTTTACAAGATTTATCGTGACACAAAACATTTATGTATTTATATATATACATATATATATAAATATATGTATATATATGTAGACAGAGAGAGAGAGAGAAAGAGAGAGGACCATAAAATTCGTTTATATTAAAAATTTAACATTGTTGCTACTGGCATTTCGTGTACATAGCACGGAATAAAACCAGAAATTGTGCTGAATATTGTTTAAAACTATATCTGTAAAAAAATAATCAACTTTTCCTATTGACTTTTTGGTAGAATAATTGTTCCTCGATTTATGCTGTTAAAACTATAATAAAATAATGTAAAAATAATATTTACTATATTAGAATATTTAAATCTTTTATATTTTATATAAAGAAAGAGCTATTTAAAATTTTGCAAAATCTGTATTTTTCGATCTATATATAAATTTAACAAATTTTATGCATTATCAATTAATTTTCTAATTACTTAAAAATATCGACGAATATTAATTTATCGCTAAATATAAAAAAATTGATATCGTATAATATAGTATTCAATATTTTAATATATAATTTAATAATTATATAAATTATATAAAATTATATAATTTTATAAATTTTAATATATAATTTTTTCGGGGAGAGAGAGAGAGAGAAAGAGATTTATGATTTATAATAATATTTCCTTCGTCAAATTTAATTTAGCTAAAAGACTTAGTAAAATCAATTGTAAAATAAGACAATCATTTATAAAATAAGGCAATTAAAATTATTGAAACTCGTCGAAACACAACGATTTTACGAAGTTTATAAACGTAATAATATTTGTAAAATATTTTTGTTTGTTACATTATAGATGTAAAGAATTTTACTTATCATAAATGTGAATGGATTCGAAAGAATTGATGTGTGCGTACATTATATTATATATTTTGCCGAAATATGTTAATTTATCGAAATATATTTATATCTTTCGCGAATGTCAGATTTATTATTGCTCTCGAGAAATAATAAAATGCATCATTTTTAATTAAATTTATTTCTGATGCCGCAAATTCTTATATTAGAATTAGACGCCTTCTTGAAATATGAGGATTTTGCGCGTCTCTTTTTAAATCATTTGTGAAGGGCATAGACATACAAATATCTAGACAGAGCGTGAAGTCAATTTGCGAACTAGTGGACGATGTACATGAATATCGCTGCAATGTGAATTCTCCATTATTTGAAGTGGCCAATAAAGCGTAGCGTCTAGTCTGCAAGAAGCATAAAACGGCGATAAAAAGAACAGACTCTCTCATATTTTTTTTTCGAAGATGATTCTCGCCCAGTGAATCACTCGCGCGACAGACGAAGAGAGAGGTTGTAAGTGGTTGTCAACACGTAGCGAGATTTCACAGATAAGCGAGAGAGGATTCGAAAAAGGGACTCGAAGCGATTTAAAATATACCTTTTTCTCTCTCTCTCTGATGTAAACGCGACGCGCTCGAGGAATAAACGAGGCGTGTCGAGAGTGCCAAAGTAGCACCTAGTGAAAACTGTCAAGAGCGAGTCTTTTTTTCAACCGCTCGTCCGGAAATACAGACTTTGATGAATGTCTGAGAGTGATTACGATTCCGCGAACGAGTACACAAGTCTGATGGACGGTCACGTCGCGGAGTCCCGCACGGACGACCTGATCCTGGGCAATGATCGTCTGAGAAAGGCCCGCTCTAGGAACGTCAATGAGGAAGTAATTTTCACGAATTTCTCTCTCTCATTTTATAATTACCAATAAATAAGGAACAAATTTTGAAATTGTTGATAAAAGTATTTTTTTCATTCGCTCTTTGTTCCTCTCTTTCCAAATAGCATTTATTAACAGTAATACTTTATAGGTGGAAAATGGGGTTCCTGAAGTACATATTGAAGCATCAGGCACGACTATCGCTAGGTCGAATAGACGGAGTGCGTCTGGTAGCAATAATCAAAACAGACTGAGGCATTATAATAGAGACGAGGAGGAGGAAGAATTGAAGTATGGCGCGGCACATGTGATCAAACTCTTTGTCCCTGTATCGCTGTGTATGCTGGTTGTAGTAGCTACTATTAGCTCGGTACATTTCTATACAACTAAAGGAATGTACTTGTAAGTTTTACCTTAGCACCGTTTAGTAATAATATATTTTGTTCTTGACATAATTGGACAGTTATCGGAGTAAACACACACAATTCTTTTTTTTTATGTAGAGTATACACTCCGTTTCATGAAGACAGCTCTGATACAAGTACCAAAGTTTGGCAGGCATTTGCCAATTCACTGATTCTCATGAGCGTTATTGTATTTATGACTGTGATACTTATCATTCTTTATAAATACAGATTTTATAAAGTCATACATGGCTGGCTGATTATAAGCTCTTTACTGTTGCTTTCAATGTTTTCAATTCTGTATTGCGAGTAAGTGTATACACAATATACTATTGCGAATTTATTATGAAATATTATTTTTAACTTTGATATTTAAAAAAGACTCATTATTTTTATATTTTCAGGCAGGTATTGAAAGCTTATAACATTCCGATGGATTTATTCACACTAGGCATAGGCTTATGGAATTTTGGTGTGGTAGGAATGATTTGTATTCATTGGCAAGGACCTTTACAACTTCAACAGGCGTATTTGATCTTTATTTCTGCCTTAATGGCGCTCGTTTTTATCAAGTATTTACCTGAATGGACAGCATGGGTCGTACTCGGTGTTATAAGTATTTGGGGTAAGATTTTCTCTCGTTGAAAATTTACTCTTCCAGAAATACATAAATTTTATCGAATTTTTCTAACTTGCATTTAGATTTGATCGCGGTTTTAACACCGAAAGGTCCATTAAGAATACTTGTCGAAACAGCACAAGAACGAAATGAATCTATTTTCCCCGCTCTAATATATTCTTCCACTATCTTATATTCGTTTACCGTGACTTACGCTGGATATGTACAAGCGGCCACGATGGCATCTGAGGACACCGTGGCATCTCCTACGCGTAGTCAAGTGGATAATCAAAATAATCGCGCATCCAATGATACGGAAGAAGGCGGTTTCACTCCCGAATGGGTAGAGACTCACGGTAAAGCCGAATTAATTATTAATAAAATATTTTCACGAGAAAAAATTAATAAAAGCAAAGTAATTTATAAAGCTTCATATAGACTACAAACATAGTAATTGTATGTTAAATTATATTTAATTCATCAACGTTTTAATTCGAGAAATCGAGCCTTTTACGAAACGTATCTGTAAAGAACGAAATTGATAATTCTGTTTCCACACGTAAGGTGAACGTAGCGCAAGGCGCGCTCAAGAAGTGCGCGAAAATTCCTCGAGAGAAGGCACAACGCGACAACAGGAAAATCGCGTACGATTCTCGCAGGAGCAAGGGACAGTTACCGAGGAAGAACGCGGAGTTAAACTAGGTCTTGGCGACTTTATATTCTACAGCGTACTTGTCGGAAAGGCGTCCAGTTATGGAGATTGGAACACTACCTTGGCTTGCTTTGTTGCTATTCTTATTGTACGTATTTCAAAATGTGATAGAATTACATTATTAATAGAATTTTTTCAATAAATATGTTTTTCTTCATACTATAGGGCCTGTGTTTGACGTTGCTGTTGCTAGCCATATTCAAGAAAGCGCTACCTGCATTGCCAATTTCTATAACTTTTGGTTTGACATTTTACTTTGCCACGAGAGTCATTGTTGCGCCGTTTGCGGATAGTTTAGCGAGCGAACAAGTGTTCATTTAAAAATTTAGGTATGATATAAATATTGTCTTATTATTTAGCATAATTTATTGTAGAATTATTTTCCGCGAGGGGACAATGCCCATTACTCACCCGTTTGGTATCACGTTTAATTCCAATATTTTTTTAATTTGAATTTTTTTTATGGCTTGTTTATGCAAACTCTTCTTTAGAGACTGACCCCTCTGAACCAAAACGTATCTACGTTTTTTTTTTTTTTTTAATAATTGAATATTTCTCAAAGAATCCTATATATCAAATATACATATGGAAAAAATATGCTCAGAAAAAAAAGAAATAATTTAAATTTGTAATATATAGAAGTAAGATAGAATATAAAGAAAATAATAGAGAGGATGTAATTACTTAGTATTTTTCTATGCGAAGCGAGTTGACAAGACGCGCGTCGTTGTGGAACTAAATGGCACACGTTTGTCACGGGAGTTATGTGATACACAAGCGGGAGAATGTGCGCTGCATTATAACAATTTATTGTACTCCGTTTGTTACATTTACAGAACATATAAGTAAAGTATCTCTCTCGAGTATAAAAAAGAATAAAAGAGAAAAGCGGATGATGATTGCGATATAAATTGTACATGAATGTGAGGTAATGTCTTCGTTTGAATAAGTAATAACTGCCTCGTTATATATACGCCTTGATTAATATGCAATATGCACCTTTCAATGGTGTTTGTGCTCTATAGCGCGCCGAGTTTTACTATTACTAAAACTATATTAGCCAGGGTGATTTCGCATTGGGTTTCTTCACGAGTCCAGTTACACATACACACAGCCATGGAATAAATACTTTTTTTTTATCATACTACAGAAAAGCATTTATTGTGTGGCGCTTATAGATTTTATTTTAATATACTAAATAATAGTATCTTTTCAATGTTGAAAGTGTTACTCTTCTTTATATATCTGATATAGAAGAATACAAGGAGAAATGTTCTGACTATGTAACGAAGAAGCAGTCCTATGCATTATTTTTCTTGCATGTTGTTTTTTTTAAATATATATATATATATATATATATATATATATATATATATATATAAATTTATTAATACTTTAATCGCGCGCTTTGACCAATTTAAATCTGATCAATCAATCGTCATTCACAGCAATGCGGCAACATTTTCCTAAAATCGATAATTATCAAAAACTTTGGTTTAATAATATTGAAATAAATGCTGATGCCTGCATAACGGTTCCAACTTTAACGATAGTTTGTTATTTCCTTGCACTATACACATTTATATATATATGTAACATATATTATATATATAATATATATATATCTCTCCTCGCGGAACCGGAAGAACTTTAACAGCGATATGATATCTCTGTTAATGCTTGTAATACATTGCTAACTTTACAAGCTGAAAATTATTATCCTAATGAAAAGCTCTTTCAATTTCGCTAGTGGATTTTTTTGTTACTTTGAATTTGCACATAAAACGTTATTCGATGCACAAAGTAAATTTTCGATTTATAATGCAAAAAAAAGATTACTGCGAAGCGATTATGATCGCTGTTGTTGATAAATTTATTATGTAATTTACATCTTTGTGCTGCTTTGTAACGTAACCAGAATGATATAAGATAGCTACAAGATTTTTGACTATATCGAAGGAAGGTACACTTTGTGAATTCTATTGGGAGAAAGACATTAGGAAAATATCTGTAAAGAAAAAAATAAGTCATACTATGACGCGATATGTTTCATCTCGTTCATAGATGAGTTTCTCTCTCTCTTTCTCTTTGTCTCACAAAGAATATATGACGTTACTCTCCCGTTAATATCTTTATGTGCTTGTCCACGATAAGCTTGCAACGCGCGCACGAGACAGTATCGGTAAAGAACGCTCATTTTTCTAAAACCAGTCTTACGATTAGCTAGTTAAGCTTTTGGAAGCATATATTTTTCTAACAACTAAAAAATTATGCAGAACGCGTCATCTGACATTTGTATCTCAATTATCTCGATAAGTAATCTGTAATACTTATTAAACTTATAATATCATATAGAAGATTTCAATATTTTTATTCTTAACAATATTGCGTGAATTTCTTGATATGTAATTTAAGAAATACAAATTACAGATATACAAATGTCATGAAGGACTTGCTCTGTATAAATTGCTTTTGCACTAATATCTTGTTTGCTGTAGCGGCTGCACTTTTATAAATAGAAAAGAAATGAAAACAAATACAATGAATTATAAAGGTCGTATTTGTTCTCATTCACAATAGTGTTTTTAGCTAGTTCCATATTTGCCGCTCTCAAACATACCACGTCTGAAAAACGGACTGAACTCTAACAAGGATTGCTTATCTATGTTGCTGAGATTGCCATTATATTTGTACAAGGGCTCGCAGTGCGGCAATTCCGAGCAAACTTGAATTAATCGGCGAAGGTATTCTTCGAGGCGTTTCCGACGTTGCCTCGCTACGACCTCATATTTTGGAAAGACCTGACGTGGAGGAAAGCGTATTGCTGCGACCTACATGATCAAAGAATCCTCGTAAGAGCAATTATACTGCGAGTATAACTCACGATATTATAAAAATAGCCCAAATCACAGTTGTCTTTCTTTTTTTGAATTAATTAGATTTCTCTGTAACTTATTTTAAGGACTATAACTTTTATTTTAAGGAATATAACTTATTTTAAGATACCTTTTTTTTTCTTTTTTCTTTTTTTTTTTCAAAATTTACTCACATTTATTAATTTTTCTTTCTTTCTCTCTCTTTGTATAATGATCGAAGTTTATTTGAAATTAAAAATAATTTTCAAAATATAAATATACAAAGGCCACATTCTCAAATTCATCTGATTGACTCGATGCTTCTGTGATTTACGCCACTTTTATAATTACGTTGTATAATATAATTGAGTGATAACGTACCTTACTACCGTACTTTTGTCGCATCGATGTATATAATTCCCGGAATCTTCTGTATCTGCGCAGCAACGTCCAACTGTCGTCCTGCGCCACGACTCGTACCTCATATTCGTAATGGCTGGATGCGCCAGCTCCGCGTATCACGTACGACGGTATACTGACAATCATGTTAATTACGCAGTCGCCGTCGTTCGCTATCAACGATGGCAAAGATCTCGTGATTGTCAGGGAATACGGACTACTCAAGCGATCACCGCGATTTTGGCTCTGTACAAGAAACAGATCAATCAGATGAAATCATGTAAAAGGAGAGAAAGAGAGAGAGAAAGCTGACGATAACTTACTGTCAAATAAACGGTTGAGTAACCTCGACCCGAGGATCTTTTAGAGGCTAACGATTCCGATAAAGTCTCTTGATCAGTATTAGTATTAGGCCTGTTATTCCTGAAAAGTTGAGATCTGGTTTGCGCTACTGTTAATAAAATGGCGGAGCTATTATTTGTAGGTTCTACAACACTACAGTAAGCACTTGATTCGTTTTGTACATCGTCCTCGTTGATGACGAGCCTATTATCGCTGCCGCCGCCATCGTCACCGTCGCATTGGAGTTGCCTGGTGGAGTGATTTTTCCGTTCGTTCTCCAACAACGACACTTCCAGTTCGATCTGCCGCCTCTGCAAATCCTGTAGTATCATTATCTGCCGATTGAGATCCTCCTTCGACGAGGTGCCGGCGTCCAAACATCTCATCACCATCATCCGCTGACGCGCGATTCTTTGGTTGAGTCTCTTCATCGCTGGATTTTGTTGTATCGGGGACTCTAGCGAATCCTGAAGCATGTTCTCCGAAATACCGGATACCGTAAGCGGCTTCTTCTCCTCGTCGCTCGTCGATTCCATGGTTTTATTACTGACGTTCATTATATTTTTACTTTCCACTTCGGATGAATTCGTATCATCGTGCGTTAAGTGATCGTCTTGTTCGCAACTTTCTTCCCGTTCCTCGAAATTTGCAGTTTCGTTCTTCACGATATCGCTCATCTGCAACGTGTTAGAATCTTCGAAGGCTATACAAAGTTCCGGAGAATCAGCAGCCGCCGTATGGAACGTCTCGACGGTATCGGAACTCGGTATACTCTGCGGCAATAAGCCTGAGACGATTTTCCTATTGTTCGTTTCTTGGAAAAGATTCGAATCGCAGCTAGAAGCCGTTCCGATGCAACAGTTTAACGAACGATCGTCGTCCGAGGACGCGGGTAGAGCACACTTGAGATCCAGCGACAGGCTCTGTTTCCGCCGGACAATCTCCTGAAGCTGTTCCTGAGTCCGTTTGGCCAGCTGCAATTTCTTCTCTGTTACTCCTTCGTCGCCCATCTAATAAAAATCCATAATGTAAGCACATTGTTTTTGCGCAGCACATAAATTCGTATTCTATGTGCATATACTTCTGCCTTAAATATCTGCTTTTGCCTCTTCGCGATCTCCATGAGCTCCTCTTCCATCTTGTCCACTTTACTCTGGTGCTCATTCAGAGACTTGACCTTGCTTTGCAGCTCATTCTCCAAGGCAGCTAACTCTTTCTTCTATTCAAAAAAATTATGTTTCAGGAAACAACAAGTGAAACTCTAAATCGAAGAAACGTGCTTAGATCTTTACTCACGTGATGATTAACCAATTCCCTGACGGTATCGATGCACTTTTCATCATTGAGGCTGGACCACGACTCGGGCAGACTATCATCGCTACCGCCACCGTTATCCGTCTGAAATACATTTCGCTTCACATTCTACAAACTTATATACGAATCGTCGAGGTACAATGTCGGATTTTTACTTAATCTAATACACACTCGGAATATTTCCATCATTTTATTTATTATTACGTACTCATAAAAAAGGAGAAATGGTGTACCATCAAGAAAAAAAAAATGTATGTATATATGTGTTATGTCATTTGCGCGATGATGAATTATTAGAAAAGAAAATTATATGAAAAAATATATAATGCGAATATACATATATGCATCGCGTAATTTGCAATATGCGTGCACGTTACAAATTTGAAGTTACTCTGTTTTTCCTTTTGCGATGTATGTTCTCACCTTTTCCCACTGATGCTGATAAGTTTGCGCACGTTCATGACTGTTGACGAGCTCTTGCAGCTGTCGATGCTTGGACTGCAATAATGTGCGCAGATAGGCGACTTCCCTACACATATTTTCTACCTGGTACCACACACAACACATACCGATGCGTTAACAAAAGAGATAAGTAACCAAAGATAATTCAAAATTGAAGATGAACAGATTCGCTTCAACATATATCTTTACAGCGGAACGAAAAGTTAAATTAAAATTCTATGACGCGGAGAATGAAGCATTTATAGCTATACGAAGTAGCTGCTAAAGATTGATAAAAATAAAACGCACAGTTTATTTTTTTTTTTTTGTCGAGCGCAAAAATACCACCTTTTGCTCCATCAGATTGAATGATTGATATATAAGATACTTTTAGCATAATATGTAAAAAATACATATATATATATATATATATATATATATATATATATATATATATACACACACTCCTGGGCAAAATTAACGCATAATTTTTTTTTTCACTTTTTCTTTAAAAGCTGATATTTAAATTTTAAAGAAAAAGTGAAAAAAAATTATTTATATTATGCGTTAATTTTGTCCAGGAGTGTGTGTATATATATATATTTATATTTATTTATATTAATTTTGTCCTTGTTTATATTTTTACAAAGCTTATTCGAGTAAAATGAATTAAAAAAATAAATAACAAAAAATAAATGTGAAACAAATAAAGAAATAGCAAGTGCAGTTTTTACAATACGTGTTATTTCGAGAAAATGATAAAAGTTATCCTCACCTTAATTAATTAGTATTCGAAATTGTGCACATGCGGACGGATTCCCGAGGTGCGACGACAACGAGTTAATGAGAAACTGGGTTTGTTAATCGGGAATATATCAAGTCGATCGAGTGCATAAAAATCTTTTAAAAGTTATGTGAGAAACAGAGAGAGAAAACACAATGAGAATGCGTGCGAATCGTTGTTTTGTGGAGGATCAAACGCCACTTTTTGTATGAAAAATTTATTAATCAACAATATATCAGTATATAACAATAATTAGTTCTCTATATCTTTATATCTCGCATAACAAACCCATAGACTATCCCATATATCAACCCATATTTCTATACAAACAAGCCCAAAAGATATGTACATACGTTTCACTCTATGACACATTCTCTACTTAAGTGTATACAACATTCCAAGGAATGCCATCTTTGTGTCCGGCAATATCTTTTCAGCACTAGCACTTTTTTTTGTATAATCGGCGGCTTATACATGTAACGTGTAAACACAAGCAATTCGTTAACACATGAACGGTTTGTAAATAATACGTTAATTGTAAATAGGCGCAATATATCCGAGGATTCCTGGAGAGAATCGAAAAATAATTTCATATAGACACTCTCATATAGATGGCGAACGCAAACGACTCTCATCGCACACGACGATAAGAAATAGAGCCTTCTATAAAGGATATGTACAACATATTGATAGGCCTGGTAGACATCGATAGACACAATACCGTGTATCTTAATCACAAGAATTTTGGTCTGGATCGAAAATATCATTTCGCAAAATTGATTAATTGCATAGTCGAGACACTCGCAGATGTTTGTCGGATGAATCGTGGCATCTCACACGTGTGAGACGAAAACGGAACCCTATCGAGATATCACATGTTTAACGGACAAACGTGCGAGTAGATGATGATGTTGCCAGACAAACAAATAAGGACAACGATAGCGACAAAGACGAGATAGAATTGATACTTGATCGACATTACATTCAACTCCGGAGGCGCGTCCGAGTCACTTACTTGCGTCATTTCGTCCCGTCGTTCTTGCTCCAGGAGATGCCGGCGCGCGCGCAGCTCATGCTGACGCGACTCCAGAGATGCGATCGCGTCTGCCCATTCCTTCCACTGCGCGCCCCATTCGCGTTCCAATTCACGCTGGGCACCTTCCAACGCTTCCCTCCTCGCAGCCCACCTCTCCTCACGCTCCTCTTGTTCCCTCTGCAGAGGGAATACAATTATTTAAAGTTCGACGTGAAAAATCGAGGTACTTTACTCACGAACCTTGAAATCTTCCTTCTCTTTCAGAAGCGCGGCCTTTTGCTGTTCCAATTCCCCGACAGCCCTGAGGTCCTCGCTCGAGTTGACGAGATTATCGCTGGAGCAGGAAGCATGCAGATCGGAGACACTCCAGCTCAAGAGCGATAATCTCGATAGATTGACGACCGTTGATTGTAGATTGCCATTACCCGAGCCGCCCTCCTTCCGGAGCTTCGCCGCCTCGGCCGGATCGTTATATCGAAACATGTTATTCCTGCCAAGAAGGATGATGCAGCCTTGCGACAGTCTTGTTGGTTTGTCCACTTGAGCAGTATTGATCCAGCAATGAGGTGAGAGCGGATGCAGCGTCGCAACGCCGCTGTCCAATTCGACTATGCAATGTTCCGACTCCACATCCGCACCGGTCAGCACAATATCCTATTTATTATAATACAGTATAGTCGATACTTGTAATTGTTTCGTTATCAATTAGCGATTAATGACTTTGATAATGAAAATTTTGATTTCATTTGAATTATTATTAGAGCAATTAGCACAATTAAAAAAAAGGCATCTATACTTTAACTTTAATACTTTTAGGCCCGGATCCACAATCCAGTTAATCCGAGTTTAAGTAGCAAATGGATCAATCAGGACCCAGTTTAACGTATTAAACTCGGATTAACTCGAGTTGTGGAACCGGGCCTTATTGATAAAACTATCAACGCATCAAGTGTATCAAATATCCATTTAATTATTTATATTGTCACCTGAACAACGGACGCTTCCTCCGTGCCAACTAACGTTTTCCCTTCCTTCAGATGATACAATGTAACGCCGGTACTGAGTAAATCGTCGTCGATGCCAACTAGATGCGGCATTTCCGAATCGAGAACGACACCGACTCCGCTTTTCCGTAGTCCCAGCGCTTTTTGTTCTTGCAGAATTTGTTGCGTCTCTCGCCACTTTTCAGTCCATTCTTCGGTTAATACCTTCTCTTGTTCTTGCTTCTCTTGGATTTGAGCCAACAATACTTGCGGCGGTCTCTCTACGCTCTATAAAAAAAAATAAAAGCATTGATAAATACATTTATCGCTAAATAGTAAATTAGCGAAACTTGGAAGGAATATGCACTGGCACAATTTCAGAATACTTGCCATATTCTTATCAATGAGAGACTTTAATTTCTCTATCTCCGCCCTGAGTTCCCTGATAAGTTTTACGTTTGCGTCTTCGTTGATGGTCGGTTTGTTGATAATATTTTTCGCACGATTAGCGTATCTAAGTGTGCTGAGAGTATCGTTGTAATTACATTCCGCTGGACTGATAGTCGCTATCATGATAGTCTTAGAATTGCCGCCGAGGGAATCCTTTAGCAGCCATGTGAGCACGCTATCCCGATAAGGAATGAACGCATTCCGCTTTGAGGCAGATGCGTCACCGCTCGCGGAACTTAATTCCGAGAGCGTGGATATCACAGTGCCTAAAGTCACCAAGGACTTATTGATGTGCGCGCCTTCCTTCAGTCGCTGACCTGTCGCTCCGGTCGCGTTCGCACGCTCACTAAATGAAGAGAGAAAAAGAGAGAATAGTGATGTTTAAAATACAGTCGCTTAAACGCACTTAGCGCGCGATATTATTTTGCCTCGTTTTTCTTTCTCAATTTTCCCTCATTTTTGCCCGGACGAAAATTGAAAAATAATTCGACTTGCTGATGCTTTTTTTTCGAGACTACCTTCCGGCCAAGTCGACAAGGTGCACCTTGGAAACAGTCTCCGATGGCATGTTGCCTTCCGAGAGGCCGGCTTGTACGAAGGTTATCGTAAAAATCGCGTGACTCCTGCTACTCACGTCGTTCATCTTTGTGCTGGCCGTGGTCCTGTGCGTATTACCTCTCACCATGCATTCCTGAAACGTGAGTAGTCTGTCGTTTATTGATCTTGCAATACAAAGATATGTACTTGTGTGTTTATAGTGTGTAAAATGTATTTTACAAATTATATATTCTCTCTCTCTCTCTCTCTTTCGTTTATTGAAATTGCAATACTGAAAAATTATTTCACATAAAATATGTAATTATGATTATACATTTATTTTATAAATTAATAGATATTTATTTTATAAATTCATAGAATAGAAATTAATAATTACAAAATTATGACTTTCGCAATATATTGCAATTTTTTTTATAAATAGTAAGAGAGGCAAATAAATAAATCATCCCATTAATAATAATAATATATTCGGGTATTCGATTTACCTGAATATCTGAATAATCATAGACGAGATGACACGATAGATCTTGGACGTAAGGCCCTCCCGTGGGATGTTCCCGTACCCTTAACGAGTGGGATTGGCTTTGGTCCAGTCTGAGCAAGTCTCTCACTCTCTCATTATAGATTTCTAGGAACGATACTTCCGTTCTGTACGACGCTCCGCTCTCCTTTCCGGCTGCCATTCTAGCGAATAGCGTCTTGCAGATCCGTGGTATCAACCCCTGAGATTCCTATGCATAATATAAACATAATAATAAATTTATAATAAATTGCAAAAAGATACTAAAGGAAAATTGCATAGAAGATAAAATCTCAATGCGTTGCGTTTGCTTCATAAAAAGATGGAGAAAAAGTTAATTATAAAATATAATATGAATATTATTTGTAAAATTTACAGATTTGTAGTATTTTTGTGTGATTGTTTTAATTTTATTTATATTTTCTTTCTTGTTTTATTTTTTTAAAATTTTATTTGATAAAACATTGATGCTTCTTCCATTTGTACTAAAAGTGACTGTAACAAAAATGGTTTTTTGATCAATTAAACGGTTACATTACCGGTGTGCCCATCATTGTGAAGGTCTTCCCGGATCCTGTCTGACCATAGGCAAAAACGCAGGCATTGTAGCCTTCGAAGGCACTTTCTATTACATCCGTACCAAGATCGTAGAAAACCTAAATAGAGAGAAGGCAATTGAATCTTTTCCTTCTCGATATAAAATACAAAAGAGGCTCTCTTTAATGAAACTTTAATGATTCTTATCAGTTATCATTCAACGAACATCAGAACGATTCTTTAATGAAATCTCGCTTTAATGATTCTTATCAGTTATCATTCAACGACCTACCGCAATTAATGCATTATCATAACAATTATATAATGAACGTTTGGATAATGACATCTAATTAAATCACACCCTACCCTCATGATTGTACCAGCACACAGGCTGGAACGATTATTATAACAATTGCATATTATGTCGTCTCACAATAATGAGATATCATTCTATTTACGCTTTGCACTATGCTTGAACACTTAATTTTCTTTCATTCACGTGTTACGAACATTTGTTAAAAAAAATACAACTTATCAATATAGCTCGCGATATTATAATGAACAGCTGTTCGAATGTATCATCGATCTTACTATGATCGCTGCATTTTGTACATAATCTATCAGCTATTAATCTCGCAGTTATTTCATTATTTCTAATCGTATATTGTGTATGATTTATTATCGGTATAATTATATAAACTGACAGTGTAAACATAAATCTCCACCAATCAATACGATGACATTTTCGCGAATATTTTGAATGTTCACGATTCAATTTTATCTTAAATCGCGAAATTTCAAAAAAAATTATTTTTATAATAAATTATTTTAAAATAAATTATTTTTATTTTTTGTTTCACCTGGGAAAAACATGACACGAACCTTTTCTTGGGATGAATAATTTTCATCGTTCGGATCAAAGGACCAGTAGGAGTGATCGAACGTGAAATCTTTATACTTCCTCCGGTCGATATCTCTGCAGCTATCCGGTGTCTGTAAACAATGAGTCGTTATTTCAGTAGCATCGTAGTGCAGTGTTTTGTTATCGCTACATTAATGTTAAAGTTCAATTGTCATTGAGTCGAATGGAACAGAATATTAGCAATTATTTCAAGGAGGTGAGCAACGATTATAGATCAATATAATCTGAATATATGTTTACATGAAATTATATGATTATATATACTATTTGAGAAACATTCTATAGATTCATTATGTTTAATTATATTACTGCTTTCCACGAAAATAAATTCAAATCGTTCGACTAGCATATATATATTCGCGAGACCTGACTGCAGTATCAATGATGTAACATGTGCATTCCTCAACTGCAGTCTATATAATTGATGAAACATTGCTGGGAATTTCGCATTGCATTTTATAAAGAAAGCGAAAGTATTAGAAAAATAATTAAAAGGTAACAGAAATTTTCTCACGTCTCTCAATCTCACTTTTATAATTCAGCGTGTTTCCTATGTTTACATGTATCATACGGCCGGGGAACGATCTATTATTAATTTACATAATTCCATATGCAAATTTCAAAATCTCATTATATAATAAAGCTTGAAATTTGGTTATTTTATGTATAAATTTCGATAAGCCCGACTGATCAGCGCTTATGAGAGAGAAAATTTAAAAATATAATATAAATCTTTTAAGATAAGATATATATATATATATATATATATTATTTTATATATTATTTATATTATATTTATATATTATATATATATATATAGATATATATATATATACACATATATAATTCCGATCTCGAAATCATAATTTTTAATTTTAATATACGATATGCATTGTGTCAATTCGATCAGCTCGAATTTTATCAGAAATCGATCAAATGCGGTTTGATGCCAAGGTTGCGCTTTAATTCGCACTTGCTAGCGATTTTTTCGTCGACGGCGATTATTCCCCGACGCGGGATTGGCCTTCTTTTTTTATTAGAACGAGAGATTGTCCGCGGATAAGGATTAATTGAATGCGGATAAAACGTGAATTAATATTATAGAACACGACGCAGCAATTGCAATGCGTCGTTGCAATGCGATTGCTGCTTGTTGCGGTCCAGCAACGATTTTCGCACTTTCTCCTCACCGCATACCGTTATCCTTCAGAGGATTCCGATGGTCGGTAACGAGACAGATGCATCGAATGTGGTCGAAACATCTTTTTTTTTCATGAGTAACTCTCCGCGAAAATTTATGCCCCCATAAATCTAAGGTAACAATATAAGTAATTATTGTATACCATAACTCTCTCTTTTTCCATCGTTTACCTTGTAAAAGTCTCAATTTTAAAGAGAGCCAGACTCGAACCATCATCTGATTTTGTTTTTAAAACATCACTCCTCTTTTCAATTATTTGCGGGATATTTTTAATTAAAGTAATATATTTTCTTTGAATGGTTTGTTTGAAAATAATATATATTTCCTAGTAAATAATTTTGTTAGGTAATAGCTTTCCATTTCCGTTTTCGATCAATGATATTTATCAGAGATCGGCTCGATTAAAGGCGCATTTTAATAATTAAGACTCGGCAATTCGTTGAATTCATTCGAGCAGAAATTATGACACTGAACTCGCGACACATTAGATGGCTATAGCGAAATATAAAAGATTGTCCCGTCATAAATATTCGCTTAGAAATCCTTTAGAAAGTCCATTTAAGGTCATTATTCCTCGGTTCTCGCGGCGCGAAATAAGCTCGTCCATACATTTGCACATAAATTATACATCTAACAATATTGCTAATAATATAATAAATTTTGTACTTCAAGCTATTTTTATATATTTCAAATATAACACAACGTACATATGTATTTATTGAAATTAAATTTGGCTATTTTGACATAATTTGCAGTGCATCTTTAAATCAGATAATTAAAAAATCGGTAGATTACAATTGTAAATTGAAAATACTATAAATGATTAGATCGTGTGGGATCCAAGCTTATAATATCGCAATCCATACTGTCATAGGAAATAAAATTTGATATCGCGATAAAATCACACATATGATATAGCAAATTTATGATATGAGCACTTTAGACAGTGATGTGACAGTGATTCTATGATGTAATCACGCTTATATCATACACGCGGACGGATCTTCGGTTTATAAACAGAACCAAAACGCAAAAACGTGCGACAAGAACCATTTTTAGCCCAAGGTGTGTACAACAGGTTGATATTCGCCTACGCATTACACATCTAACACGGCTATTTTTATTACTCAAAGCCATGTATCCTTTGTATTTAATAAATCCTTTGTAATTCTCCTTTGTAATCAATCCTTTGTATTTAATATTCGAAACTAGAGTAAACAATAGATTCCAACATATAATTTTTTTAATAACTCAAATTAAAACATCTACTTGAAAATTAAGCATAATTGAATCATTTTTCCATAAAAAATCTGAGCAATATTAATATCTAAAAAATGCTATACCGATAAAAGATATCAAATAAAGAAAATATATTTTTTTATATTTTTCTCTAAAATAAAACATTATTTAAAATTTTGTTTTTAAATCGAATGAAATGTATCATTAAAAAATGTCTAAGAAACTGACAAATAATATTGCCAAGAGAAATATTAAAATATACGGAAAATGGTCAAATATTCTTCCCGAATTTCAGACGAATAAAAGAAGAATTTAATTTGGTAATTTGCCAGCTTTTTTCCCGCTCATACATCTTCTTTCTTTTATTCGATATATACATCTTATGAAATTGCGATTTTACAGTTAAAGGCGACCGTCTTTTGCTACGTAACGATTGCATGCGATCGTGAAACGAGATTGAAACCGGCTCCAGTGATTGTTGTATTTTTTATTTTTGCGCTTTTGTCACGCTTCGAATACGTAAGCGGCGATGCAAACTTTCGAGTTTCGTAGGAATGAAACATTTACGATATCTCAATTATTGAAAAAAATGTTGCACGCAAATATTGGAAAATAAAATAAATAAAATAAAAAAAAACATGTTGATACTTCGATAGGAAAGAAGGAGGGATGGAAGCGACGATAGCGTGCATGTGAGATTGTCTACCTTGGTATTGAAGATCCGTGTCCTCTTGCCGTCCATCTGCACAATCAGCTTTTCGTTCATCGCCACCTCCCTGTAAAGCAATAACAACATTGTGACACGCATATTATCCGGCACACAATATTCCGTTTTTGTCTTGTTCGGAACTGGAAAAGTCACGAATTCGAAAATCGCCGAGACACACGCGACGTTTGTAATGCACTCCAGTCGATACCACGATGACATAACTGTGTCATGTGCTGTCAATAACATCTGTTCGATGTAGCGACTGGTTTTGAGTGTTGCTGTCGCTCCAACTTTTTGTATAGGTGAGGAAGTAATCGAATCTGTCGATTTTAAACAGAACGTTACTCCGAAACTCATATTTCTCAGAAAATGCAAGTGACATTCATTAATAATACTATCGTGTACAGATATTTTATTGCCACTTTGTGTATATTCCCTCTCTTCAGAACATTGAATATTATTTTCACAATTTGCAAGAAAGAAGACTTAATATTGCACACTTTTAATATTTTCACGATAAAAGTCTTTGTGAACGATCAATTAAATATTTTCAATTAATATTTTAATATCTGTCAATCACACTCTTTTAGTTCAAAGCTTTCGATCAAAACTTGATTTAAAGCGCAGAACAGTTAAAATTTGTTTTTCTGTGCTTTGTATACTTGAAAGAGTTAGAAAATAACAAACAATAATGTATACAAAACAAACTTAGCGGAGAGGAAAAGGTGATTCTACTATAATTTAAATCAAAACAAATATGACAAAAGTGAAAATCTAATTTGACAGAAGGCAAATAAATTATTTGTCTTTTATATACGACTTTAATTTTTTCTGCAATCTTTACCTTATTTTTATTTGTAAAAAAATTGAGCGTGCAAAGTAACAACAAACAAGTCGAACTCGAATGATGATGAGTCCATTGTCGGTGACTTGGACCGCGCGCGTGCATTCTTCATATTTATTGTCAGTAATATCGGACAATGAGTCTGTCATCGATAATATCCAATGATCGATACGCCGTCATCTGCGAGATGTTATTGACCGCAAATTAATTGCGTAATGATATCAATTATAGCGATGCAAACAATGTGAAATACATAAATAGATCTAAAAGAATCAAGAACCTTTAGAATATTTTTTTCTAAATCATTGAAAATATCTTTCAACGAATTTCGGCTGATGCAGCGCATTGACGCATCCTAAATTCACCTCATTTCCACGAATTAACGTTAAAAATTCGTACTAATATTCGTACTCATACATTCAGCGTAAAACAACATATTGCTTACAGAGTTCATTCTACAAATCTCTGATCATCGACGTTTATTTACGTTGCATTAATTTCATGCATCTCTAATCGAGTTCGCGATCGAATCGGATGAATTCGGACCCGAGGCGAGTCGTCGCCACGATCATTTGGATATTCCAGCACCGAGCTGTCGGAGAGCACGCCAATGACGAGCATGACGTAGTCTAAGCGACTGCTCAAGCGATCTCTTCACTTGGCGAACACGAGGACCTAGACAAGTCGGTGGAAGAGACGAGCTCTTCCGTCACCTCGAGTCACGCACGCACCTCTTGTTGAAGGGTCGAACTCTCACGGCCACCTTCACAGAAGCCATGGTTCCGCGAGGAGGAGCGCATGGGGCCAACGGAACAGGCGGTCGCTGTCACCGTCCTCTGCGGCGACGTGACACGACGAAGGCACGCCTTCGACCCTACGGCGTCGCGTGTCTACGGAAGACGCTGGCGTCCTCGTCGAACCTCGAGCTCGAGCGCGTCCAGCAACAGCGACATCGTCCCCGCGTGTCATACACACGCTCGTGATTCACGGACGACCGCGAGTGACTGCTCGTGTTCTTGGCTGCTCGCTGCGTCGACTCGAGAAGAGCCGAGCCGTGTCGAGCCAGGCGAACGCGCATGCGTAACTTCCTTGCACCTCGATCGCGAGCGGATTCTAGCCGCTCGAAGGCCGTTCAAAAGCACTGCGTCGCCTGGAATTATGCACAGAATTAATATTCCCTGTCTAACCTCGGAGAAAGAAAGATCCCAGGTAGAACATAAAACTCATAATGGCATCATTTTGACGTCATCATGATTTTGTTTATCACTTAAAAGTTACCTAAACAAAAATGATAAAAAAATGAGATAAAGATGACAGAAAGAATAATAAATTTTTAAGTTCAATAATCGCAATATATAATTTTAAAAAGATTACGTTGCTTAAATATAATTAAAATATACATGAATAATTAAATAAACAAGTAATTGTGTAATATATATAAAAAATTATATTATTATGATTGATTCTTAAGGTTTCCTAATGTTTCCTAATGTAAATTAACATCAGTGTAATTGGAATTTATTTGATTAATTCAATAATATCATTAATCAAATCAATACATGGTATATTGATTTGATTAAAAATGTTATTGAATTAATAAAATAAATTCCAATTACACTGATGTTGTTAATTCAACATTACTTTTTTTTCAGTGTGTATATATATATATATATATATATATATATATATATATATATATATTTCCCAACAGAGTTCGCTAGAATTGTTTAATATCAAAAATAAGTCACCGAAACATTGCCAAAAGTATATCAAATAAGATCATTATGATTTTTCTAAAATGACTTTTACGTGACGTCGTAATGATGCCATTACGAGTTTCATGCTCTACCTGGGATGCGCGTCGAAAGAGTGACATGCACACCATAGAATCCAAAAATAGCATTATCTACAGAAATATACAAATGTACAGATTATGGAAACATGACGTTACAGATTTGATAAGATAGATAAACCGAGGAGGAAGATCTCGGTAACTTTTCATTTCTATATCCTCGGCGGTAGCAACTCGTACATACAATTACCTCAAAATATAAGTGATACCCGATAGATATCGAGTCAATATTTTGATATCGATATTATTGACGGATGCAGCTCGGTGCGAAGGAGGGCATCGAGCGGGATAAGGGCGGAGAAGTGGCACATGACGTGGACCAGGACGCTTCTCTCAAACAGGTTTACGCTTCCTTCGCGCAGTGACGTCATAGCGGTCGCTCGCGCCCGCGCGAGCGCAGGAGGCCGCGCCGCCCACGCGTCCAGGAACACGGGGAGGGGGGAGGAGGGGTAAGGAGGCGGAAGGGGAGGCGGGAACGGTGATCGCTAAACCAAATCGCTTTGCGGTTTCTCAACGCGTAACGGCAGCCGCGGCGAGAATTCGCGTCGTCTTGTTGTCCAGCTGGTGATGATCACGCCTGACTGGGTACCTCTATCCAGGGTACACCTGTCCGCTAAGACGTTCACGTGCCTGTAAAACGACGTGGACGGCCAAGTAAATGAATTAATAAAATACGAGAGACCGAATCGCGGATCGACAAACCTCTTGACATTGGCGTTTTCGCTCGCGTTACGTCTTGAGAATAGTTGACAGGTCGTTGAATCCCAAAGGAATCGCTGCGAGGATCGAAATCTTTACACGGAGCGATCATTAGAGATCATTAAAGTCTTCATTTTCGCAAAGAGGATAGCGACTTGGCGATGGCCTTGGAGTGAAATGAATAAACTAGATGTGTCAGGTGTCATTGAGCAATTTGAAAATGTATTCCAACGCGTGATTGGTCCGATCTCGCATGCGTGCGCATTTTTATCAGCGATTTCTAGCGGGCCAATCGCTACGCGTTTTCCCGCGCGAATTCTAAATATGGCCGAGTAGGCGCGTATGAACGGGATTAATGAAAAAATCCGAGCACGCATGAAGATACCCTTTTCTTCCGCATAACGGCATGTTTCACGCTTCCGCGAAGTCGTTTCGTTATAGTTTATCGCGTGTAACAAAAGATCCAATGATGAGGCGAAAGTTTTTTTTTGAAAAGAAAGATTGCGGATCCTACAAAGGTATACGAAACTTGCTTATGGTTACCATAACAATTGTAAGAGCTATAAAAACTTGACTATTTCGAGCTAATTGTATTGTAAAATACCGTTTTTTATCATCTTTTTAGGTATACGTACATAAAATATCGTCTGGAAGAGTAAAAGAATTATAAGATACTATTCTTTTTTCTTTATGAAATGTCATTATATGTTTTGTTGTCGATTCCGTTAGTCGGGTATTATATAGCTTTTCATTCTTCGTTTTAATCTATTTAAAATAATATAATAATATACATGATGATAAAAGGTTTTTAGAAAATTTGATTTTTGCTCGCGCGAATTAAAATTAATTGTTCCGCGCGAATTAAAATTAATTGTTGTATATAATTAATTTTAATTCGCGCGAGCAAAGATGAAATTTTCTAAAAACCTTTTATTATCATGTATATTATTACATATTATTTTAAATAGCGAGATTAAAACGAAGAACGAAAAACTATAATACCCGAATTAATTAATTAATTATGAAAGTGTGAAATGTTGTCAAGTATTATTTATTAAATAATTAAAAATATATATTATTTATTAAATAATATAAATTAATAATATTAATTAATATATTATTTGTTAAATAATATAAAATAATTAAAAATAATTAAATAATTTAAAAGAACTGTCGCCTTAGACGAATGATAGATTGCGAGAACCTTGAAGAGCCGAGGAGTTACACGATACGTGTTGGCGCATAGTGATTCATAACCGATCACGAATTGACGTAATCGCACTTGCGTCGTGGATCCATTTATAAGCATAGCACACTTCCGGAAATCTAAATACGGTGACGGAGGATGAATGATCGATAAAAAAATCCTGCCATTGACCGTGTAATGTCGTACGCGTTTAATTAACGCAGATACGCGCAGCAAAAAATTGGATGATAAATCTTGACAAGGCGGGTCGCCTAATAAAAACGCACGAACTTGATGAGTTTCGGATGTAATTCTACAAAAACTGTAAGAGAATTTATATTTACCGAATAAGAGGAACGCGACGTTATTTTAAATTATTCAACGACCAAAAAATCTCGTTTCTCTTTCTTAAAGAAAATTTCAGAGATAATTTTTACATATGTAAAACACTTTATTAAATAATTAAATTGTATTTATGTATTTTTTTATTTTAAAGAAAAAATTCAGGCCAGTTCTGAAGGATATTCATTCAGATAAGTGTATTATTTATTTTTTATTTAAAATAAAATAAAAAATGTAGATTGGAGGATACTCAACCAACTATCGAACAACAAATAAAGTCAAATCTCTTATTAAAAATACCACTATTGTTGAAAATAAATCTATAAATAATTAAGAATAATATAAATATTTTGTCTTAATATTACTAATAAAACATCGTATACTTATTTTGTAAAGTTAAAATTAAAATCGGAAAAGCGAAAATTAAAATTAACACAAATCAATATTAAAATCCCAATAACATTATTCTAACATTTAAATCACACAAAAAAAGAGTGCATGTGTAATTTGTCAATCACCCGCCATCTTTCAGAGAGTTTCGTCGTTCCGACATCGGGGAACTTTTTTCCAACGTACAGTTTTCTTCTTTACCGACCGAAATGCTGGCGTCGCATCCCCGCAGATGGCGCGCGCGACTCGCGTTTCTCGCGGCCCGCGGAAGGGGCGATTCGAGGCAGTTCGTTCTCCGAAACGGGCGAGAACGGTAGGGGTGATAGCGACGATCGGGTAGGGGAGCGGAAGAAAGAAGCGGACGACGAGGGCGAGGGATCGCGGTGGACGCGTCAGTCGGGTGGCAACTGTCCGGGCACGTGTGTCGCTCGTCTGGGTCCGGTCGGCTGGGTGCGCGGGTGGTGTTTGTGCTGGTGTCGGTACAGTGGTGGTACACGTACGGAGTGGTGGCGGTGCACCGAGAAAGGTGGTGACGCTCCTGGCTCCTGCTCGCGCGCTCCTCTCGCTCCGAAGGCAGCGGACTCGCGAACATGTGATTTTGACAGGTGGAGCGAGAAAGACAGAGAGACACAGCCCTTCGCGATAATCTCTCTCTCGGTGACGTTTCCCTCGCGCGCATCTGTCGTTGCATCCGTGGCGTGCGTGTGTGCGTGCGTGCGGTGGTGAGTTCGCGTCGCTCCGGACACGCCGGGATACGCCGTGGAGTCGTCGCCCCCTCCGGCTGCCCCCCCTCTCGCCCGCTCGCGCCGAGGGGTTGTTACCCGTCGTGCGGAGGAGGATATAATGTTCTGAAATTCGTGACGAGAGAGCCACGCGCGCATCATCATGGTCGCTAAGCACTTCGCTTCGCAGGGTGAGTCCTCCTCTCAGTTTTCATTGTCGTCTCCTTCTTTTATTCCTGGTGACACTTTTCCCGGAGCGCGTACCACCATCTGCCGCCCCCGCCCCGAAATTGTTCCGTATAATTTCCCCTCGCTCTCCCGGTGGTTGAAACCCTGCCGCGGGGGCGGGTAGGTGGTTGTTAGGTGGTGCACGGCTCGATCATAATAATAGATTCGTTGCGTGTACTTCGCTATCTCATCTACCCTTCTCGCGTCTCTCTTCCCTCCTGGAAATAACGCACAATCTGAATTTTGAGGAAACGCATCGGTGACGCTCCGGAATGAGAAGTAATTCCAAACGAACTTCACATTGTCAGCTGTTGCGATTTGATATCGATACTAATATTTATGAATTAGAATTATTTAGTGTTATTAATTTGGAATTTCTCTCAAATAATTACTCTCTGGAGGGTGAAAAATAAATGAGCCTGTACATTATTTTTGGAAGAGCCCGATTGAATTGACTTGGGAGCGCGAAGTCCGAAGGTACTAATATAATGATGCAGGATCGATTCGATTCGCTCTGCCTGTCGTGCGTCGCGACTCGCAACGACCACCGACACTTCTCTTCAGTTCCGCTCCTCCCTCTCGTTCGTTTTCGGCATACTGATCGAATGGGCGTACATCTCTTACCGCGAACGTTCGTCTCACCACAAGTGTTTTTCCGATGTTCATCGGGCGAGAGAAAGAAATACGCGTCCCGAGAATCTATGGCCATGCTATATCCAGAATCGCGAGGTAAAAAGCGCTATTCATTATTTGGGTTTCGTCGTTAAATAGAGGAAAAAAGCTCGAGTATTTTCACACGAGCTTTTTCATATCCCTCCTCGTGTCTTTTTCCTACAATTACTGCGACCGTGAATGAAACGGGCGTCTTTTAATTGAAGTAAGCTATTTAAATAGCGAGATTCTAAAAATTGCAAAATTATTTAGAAGATATTCTTGTGAATTAAGTATTTTGGAAATTTATTCATTAGTTTTAGAAGTTAAATTAATTTTAGGAGAATTATATTGTTTATAATTAAATTTAATAAATTAATTTATTACTTGAAATTAATATAAGTAAATTTATTAAAAATGATGTTGATAGTATTCAATTAAATTTAAATCTTATTTATTTATTAGAAATTACTAGAAAAATGAAGATTAATTGAAGTAAGGTATTTAAATAGTGAGATTCTAAAAATTGCAAAATTATTTAAAAGATATTCTTGTGAATTAAGTATTTTGGAAATTTATTCATTAGTTTTAGAAGTTGAATTAATTTCAGGAAAATTATATTTTTTATAATTAAATTTAACAAATTAATTTATTACTTGAAATTAATATAAGTAAATTTATTAAAAATGATGTTGATAGTATTCAATTAAATTTAAATCTTATTTGTTTATTAGAAATTACTAGAAAAATGAAGAAAAATTATTAGTGTTCCAATCATAATTAAAATGAGTAATAATTGAATAATTTGATTTTTAAGAATAAATTTTTACACAAAAATTATTGTACTCTAAATTAATAATATAAAAATTACAATTGGGTATAAGTTTGTTACATCAAAGAAAAAAGTGAATAAAATCCTTATAATTATTATATTAAAATAATAAAATTAAAAGCAATTCTTTATTCATATATTTCTATTTTCTATTTTTTTAAATAAAAATAATGTATCTATTATGTAGGAAAAATCAGGAATTTCTTTTTTTTTAATTTATACATATATCTGTTTACGCGCAAGGGATCATCTCGAGGGATGATCAGTTCGCGTCGATTGAAGACGAGGATAATAGCGGCGGCGTATGAGCTTCGTCTGGCAGCTGATTGACTGCGCGATGTCAAGTTCGCGGGGCGACTTTCGCCGGTTCGACGCCCAATCGATTCGCGCAATTCTCGCGTGTCCTCGCTCTGACACGCTCGTATGTACATACACACGGCCATTAAACGCAAAAGTCAAGGGAACGTAAGAAAGCGGTGGGAAAAAATCCAACACGAGTAGCCCACGAGCGAGGTTCGCGAGATCAACGACCAGCGTTAGCGCGATACTTGGCTTTTGTGTACTATTAACGTTAAAAGAAACGTAATTACGTGACAATCGCTGCAATTTGATGTGCAATATTTACAGTCAATATATATCTTATATTAATTATATTCACTAATATTGAAGACGAGATATCGCAGTGAGATTTTATTTTACACCTTACTCAGGGGTTTGAATTAAATAAAATTATATTAAGTGTCAGTCTTGTTTAGAAAATAGAAAGGAATTCATGAAAAGTCCACGTTAGTCGTATATAAAATCGCGAAAGAATTCTTGCCGAAATGTTAGTCGAGTATTGTACGCACACAGACGGCATTCACATCTTTATCGAACATATCACTGTTGCTGATAAAGGTGCTTGCAATGTATATCTTAGGATACACACAGAGATATACATATATAATATGAAACTTTATAAAAGACGCCGCATCGATACGTGAAATGCGAGATACGACAGTTTGACATAACAAATTATACTAGGTTTTACCCTTCTATTATTTTATTATTATATTAAAATTTTAATTTCAAATTTAAATTTAAATTCAACAATTATATAAAATGTCATTATTTATTATGTAATTATTATTACGTGTTATACTTTCCATTTAGAGTCATCAGTAGAAAATAAACGAGAAAAGTTCAATAAATCATGTCGTCAATTATTTTAATTACGCGCGCGAGCTCCCAAAAATTTTTTTTATTTAATATAAATGTAACATACACATGATAAGTAAATTAATTAATATACATTGTAATTGATTTATCTCTTTTTTGACGGAATATAACTCGCCGGACTTTTTTTTTTAGATGAGAACAAAATATTTACATAAAGTCCGAACATTGATCGTTGATATTATTTCTCAGAGTAGTAATTTTTGCAGGAAATTTGATTCGACGTAAGAAACTTTCCCCGGGAGAAATGTATTCGCGTATCGTCAGGATCTCGTTTTCCAGGACCAATGAGTCATCGGTGACATTCTAGAGAGCAGGTTCCTGGTATGCTCGTCAAGTGAATCATCGCATTCTACGCTCTAATTTCGAAAAAATGACCATGCGGAACTAGTTTTATCGCTAACTGACGTTAACGTCGCACTTTCACCCAATTATAAATTATCTTGAATTCCTAGAACTTTACAATTAGAAGTGAAAAAGCGATTATAAAAATGAAGAATGCAGAGTTATTCAAATTAGTCGGCAAACTGATTATTTTAAATTAGTCTTTTTAAAAGGACGATAAAATCTTATTCTTCCATCAATTTCAAACACGTTTTATAGCGGCATTTATTACAATTCATGCCAGTCCATTCAATTAAAATGAAGAATTAAATTAAATCAAGTTACGTTCGCGATCAAAATAGATAATTAAATTGGATGCTGAATCGATTGGGTGTACTATTATTATTCGCGATTTGTAAATTAATTTGTTTATCCGAAGATAGATAGAATTTGTTCGCCGATAGAATGGAATTCGATCGAGAACGTTGAATTTTGGCTGCGAAAAAATCGATTTGGTCGAGAAAATTTGCATTGAAGAAAAAAGAGAAAATTGAATATACTTGAATCGAACGACTTTTGATACATACCCTGTGTGACTGAATGTTTCGTCGCCTCGGGATACGACAAACATACGGATAGCCATCTCGTCCTTTCCGTCACGCGAATCCAAAGGGGCGCGTGTCCTCTGGCCCGGTTAAGTTCCCGTGAGAATTATGTGCTCCTTTCTACAGGAACTACCACCATCGCAGCTACTATGCCGCATGTACACGATGTAATTACCCATGGCTTTGCGTCATGTGTTACCCATGCCAGTTGTGCATTTTAATTCCCTTTCTCGGTTGGCAATTGTTGGTGATTACGCTTTGTTCCGCGCAATGTTTCCTTGCGATATATTCCAATCTCATACGCGTGATTTATGATTCTTTCGTGATGAGAATCAAGGATTAATTCTACGAGAAGCAATTTCGGAAGGAGAACAATGAAAAGATGTATCTAATAAAGATTAATTAATAGTTGGGAGAATTATTTGCGTCAAGTTCAACTTTGAGAATGATGTGCAAATTGAATTTTAATTGTAATTGTTGATACTTTCAGATTTAGTTAAAAAATGCAAATGTTTAAGGACGACTTTTAATGGAATATTTTATGTCTTCTACTTGTAAACATGACTACTATATAATTTATAGTGTTAGGTTTTATCGATACATTCTTCGAGAAGATATTGGCAATAAAGTAAATTAATGAAATTAATAAAATTAACATATTGATTCAAGTGTACTAACGCAGTTTTTGGAATTTTAATATCAATAGGGAGCCGTGCCATAACAAGTAATTGCGATATTATGCTAATCAGATAAATTCTTGAAACATAAATTAGTAGCTTGAACTTGTCATCACTTTCCAAAATGAAAAATTAATTCTAATGCATTACGGCAATTATAATTTAAATGAAAGGAAATTAGACGATTATATTAATTATATTATAGAATATAATTAATTAGATTATAGAAAAATTAATTATATTCTATAATATAATTAATAATAATTTATTAATTAATAATTAATTACAATATATTGTAGGAAAATTAAAAAAGTGCATAGTATACAAATGCGATAGAAAGAATAAAGTTAATTTTCATGTAAAGATATTCAAGGTAAATATATTTAAATGATGTCAGGAATAAATAAAAATCTCTCCAAAATAGTTGTTTTATCGCGAGTTAGGGATAAGCGTATAAAAAGAAAGAGAATGAATGGTATTATAATAAAAAGTATAATTTAAAGAAAAAAATAATATTAATACATGCACAGACTATTTAATTAACTTTTTAGAAATTTAATTTACAAATACATATAAATAAAATAGCGTAATAAATTTTTTATAAATATATATCTGAATACATTCGATATATGTGACTTCCTAAATATTTGTTGCAGTTCATACGTTTAATCTTATGTTACTAAATGATTACTCACCTTCTCTTTCTCTTTCTTTCACTTTCTAGCTGATAAATTTCCGAATTATCATTATTTAACTCGATGCCGTCACTATCCAATTATGCCACGTTAATTGCTTGATTTTACTCATAGATTAAGGTAATAACGGAAATAACAGATTCGACTTTCATTTTATGACTTTTCCCAAATAAAACCCCACGATAGAATGCTAGAAAAGGCGCAGCTGCATAACTGCATTTCGAATCGTTAATCGCGAAATTTGCCGATAGTTAGCGGCGGATCCATAACAGATTCCCGTTAATCACGACCTTGAAATTCATACCGCGGCAGCTGGACAGTGCAGGTGCGGTCGCAGGTGCATGTGCACATCGAGACGCACCTTGCGGATCGAGAAACTCGCTGCCGGCACGTGGACTACCGTCGAGATGAGACGAGAACCACATGATTGATTTCCTTCGAGACGTTTCATGTCACACCATCGCTGTCGCAAATTGATTTCGAGGCAGGGAAGAACAAAATCTGACGGGATAACGATCGACAATAAAATCATTCCCCTGTAAATCAGTCTTGTTTACGATATTTATTTGACGGATATATGTAATGAAAAAAATGTAGAATATCGTAAACTGCTCGCATCAACTTTAATACATGCAGAATATAATTTATTTTTAAAAATCTAGAATATGTTAATGTACAAGTAAAATCGAGGATGAACAAAAGAGAGAAGGACGTTTTATAATTTGCACAACTGGATGAGAGAGAATTTTCGAACGTTAAAGAGTGGACGAAATTATCGAACTGTTTGCTCTCAAAGTGGCATAATTGTCACTTGCACTTGCCAAACAACAGGTGGTCAAACACGGTTTCCTTTGATGTGTGAGAGAGAATTCGCTCTAGAAATGTAATCTAGATAAAGTCCAGTATTAGCCCAAAGTGTCGTGCAATCAGCAAAGATGCGATACCTATCGTTAATTACTAATAGATTCAATTTCATGATTTTGTCAATTATAATCTTTTGTGCTTACTATTAATATATCAAATTTAATGTTTAAGAGAAAATTTAAAGAAATGATGTTTAAAAAAAAATTAAATATCAATTATTACAACAACAAAAATTCAATTATATTAAGAAATCATATAAATCAAGGAATAGCAAGTGACGAATCTGAAAAAGTATTATAAACGAATAATATACGAGAGTAATAATCGTTAAATATAAGAAAGAGCGCTAGATAAGATCTTTTTAATATGTTATTTTATCAATGACACTTGAAATTTTACAATTCTTTTTTTATAATTCATTTTTAACATCTTTTTTTTCTTACTTTTCAGGCTCAAGCCCCGAATGCGGCGTGCCGGATATGACAGTTATCAGCGACATCGATGAGACTGGTATTAATCGGAACCTTCAAGTTCGGTATAGCAGGGACCAGATATATGTATCCTTTCTCTTATCTTTTCTTCTCAATTAATAATTTCTAAATTTATTCAGCAATAATTTTTATCTAGTAGAAACGTCACAAAATTTAAAAAAAAAATTAATAACGGGGAATATTAATGATTTTATCACGATTATAATTAATTCGATTTTGTTTCTAAAGTTCAAAGATTGAGCGCATTTTCTAAATGAGGAAATATAAGTTTCAAATATGGCTCCGATGGAGATAAAACGCACTTAATAGCGACATAATATTTGCGCGATTCCGTTTATCTCTTCGTTCGAATGGACGGATAGACAGAGGGGTAGACAGGTGGGCGACAAGAGACTAACCGATCTTGCCCTGAAAAGGAGATCGGCGAGTCGGGGGGGAAAAATGAATCGGTCGAGAAAGACAGCAAGAATGGACGCGTATAAATATTGCAGGGGTGGGCAGGGTCGTTCCTGGGTTGCCGCGTTGCCATGACAACTCCAGTCAGCTGGCGAACCACCCCGGGGCTAGACCCATTCATCTTTCGTAGGCTTGGATTTGCCAACGACCCAACGACCGACACCGCGACGACCCACTGTCAACCCCCTTTGTCCCCCTTGATCCCCCTTGATTCCCCCGAAAGCAAGTTCGCCAATATGCAGATGAATCGCGAGGCCTTTTTCCCTCATCGATGAAGTTAACGATGATTTTTTGAATAAAATAATTATCGAATCTCGGAGTAAAATGTATTATGCATGTATTGAGGAATAAAATTTAAGAGGAATAAAATATTCGGTAAAGACAACGCGATTTAGGTCGACAATCCATTCGTTAGTGGACGCTTCCTCGTGTACGCGACAATAATCGTTCGGATGAGTAGCGTGTGGGATGATGTGCTTAGACTAATCTTTTGTTGCATGTTAGATTGAAGTGATACAAGCCGGCAGATAACTGTCTTATATTGCTGAGAATTTATTGCAATGCATAATTTTTTGAACGAAATAACAATGCCGTTGAAATATTTGTGCATCAAATTACATTAAAATTGTTGTTTTATGCTAATAGTTAGTAGCGTTTCTTATTTGCATAAACCAGAGAGCGAATGTAAAAGTAGGTCGCGATATATCGCAGTAAATCCGCGGATTACGTGTGCATTTTATTAATTACATGATTATATCTTTCCGGAGCCTGTTTTTTAATGAATCCACAAAATCAATTATACAATGTTGGAGGAAATATTTCGCAAATATAATTATACGTTTTTATTTATACAAGTAAAAAATATTCAAAACTTGACAAAGTAATATAAATTAAACAAAGTATAAATAAATAACTATAAATTAAACAAAAATTTAAAATAAACAAAGAGTAAAATGATTTCTAATTTTACTATAATTTTTTCGTCAGATTCTCTCTGTTCTTAATTAGAAAGTGATTCATTCTAATGAAAAGGCTGCAAGAAACGGGAGATGTTTCTCAGAAGTTAAACTCTTTGCCTGATCAGTATTATACTAACGCACGTGTTTTTTTTGTCGCCTGATGTAATCGAAAAATTAAACGGCTCGTAAAACGGCCCTTTCGAATCTCCGTCGTCGACCACTTCTTGCCGCCGTCATGGACGCGAATGGGATTCGCAGCTGGTAAAGACAGCTCTTGCTGCCGGCCAAGTTGAAAACGCCTCTACGTTAAATGTAAAAGCTACGGGTCGGCTTGTGAATTAAAATCACGCGAGTCTTTTGCCTAAATTGGCCATCTATTTTAAAATATAAAAAAGAATCTCGAGAGCCACTTGCATCTGCAATTTATGCTGTGAGTCTCGTTGAAGCAAATGGGGTGAAATTCAACAACTATCTGTATTCTATATATTAATTATTTAATATTTATATTTATAATTATTTTTAAATAATCAATATAAATAAATATTAAATATTCATAATATTTAATATTTATTTATATTAATTATTTAACAAAACGGGAAACACGCGATTTTAAATCTGTTACGTTCAAAACCGTCGCGATAGTATTGGAAGACTGGGTAACCCAGCGAAAGTAGGTCTCTCGGATAAGGGGTTAAGGAACCGACAAGACCGAAGTCATCCAGTCATCCATCGCGCGTGACAAATAAGCGCTTTTCTTACCGTCTGGCCTCATCAGTCTCCAGCAACCCTTTTCAGAGCGAGTGGCCTAATTTATTCGCATCGATGGATTTTTCTCGCGTGACCCTCCCAGACGCTCACCCTTTCGCTCTTCATCGCGTATCGCCTTTTTTTTTTACTCTCTTGCACCCGGTAATAGAGAGATCGCCTCCCTCCGTTTCTCCTCCCTCGCGTCCACCTCCGCCTACGAGTGCAATTCAAGCTGGCCTCAAGAGCGCTCCTCCAGCGAGAGAGCTTAATGAGAGAGCGAGCTACCCCTGCGTGAGTATCCGTGTCTGCACGAATAGGGATGAATGCGAAAAAAAAAATACGCGTAAAGAGACGAATGACATTCGGTTCATCGACGAAGCTCCACTCGAGCCACTTTCCGATCTTTGCATGCTCGACTAAATTAAAATGTAATCGTGATTCTGTATAATCATCTTCGTTGACGATCGCTGTTATTGTCCTTTAATCGTAGTGCGAGAGAGATTACCTCTGACATTAGGACGCGATTGTTGAAAGGAGAGAAATGGTGAAATGATCTTTTTCGCAAGTGACTTAATTAATTAGAGAAAATTTAGTAAGTTTATTATATTATTTTTTTCTCTCTTTCTTTTTGTACGTGTTTCTCTCTCGTCTTTTTTTCACTTCTTTATACTTAAAGTATGTATAATAATTAATATATAATATGTAATTAATAATAATATATAATATATTAATATTATATAATATATAATATATAATATATAATATATAATAATATATAATATATTTATATAATATGTAATTAATAATTAATATATAATATGTAATTTAAATATAAAAGCGTAATAACCGCTTTTGTTGTATTTTAACTCGTACATTTATTTTCGTAATAATTGTGTCAGCATAAACTGAAAATGTATTTCATCCCAAGTTATATTAGTCCCAAGCCTTGGACATAAAAATAGTGAATAATCGATAAAGATAACCGAGTCAATAATACCGTATTTTTTACATACGAAGCATTCAGGAAACCGAAAGTAAAAATGCTTTTTGGTGTTTAAAGCGATTATCCAATCGACTATTGTTCTCTCCCTTTCTCTCTTTCTCTTTCGCTTCCTTCTGTTTATTGGTAGTTTCGATTTGAAATCTCGTTAAAGTACGATCGAAGCTAATTATAACGATCCAGTGTAGTTTCGAGATGTGCTAGCAATCTCGCGAAGGAAATTGAAAGTTCCGACCGACCGATATCTTTCCTGCAGAAAAGGAGATCGAGGTCCATCTTTCGCTCTTTGCTCATCTCTCGAATAGGCTCTTCGGCAAATAGACAAACTGTTTGCAATTAAGCTTGAGGTTTTAGTCTCTCTGTGCCGAGAACGTAAATCAGGAAGCTACCAATAGGCTACACGAGGCGTGTCCGCGGAGTTAATTAAATTGTTGGGCTCTCTCTCGCCGGTAATAACGGGGCTTTTGCAGAGGTTGAACTAGACTCTAACTGGGAACCCCGCAACCACTTACGGGTCACTAGGTTCTATATGCGATACGATGTATTAACGTCGTATGCATTTAGACATTTGTTTCGAGATTAAGGATAAAATGTAATATAAAATAAACGCACCGTGTGATGTCTCATAAAAGCTTAATATGGAAAGTTTAATATGGAAAGAAGAAAAATATCTGTTTATATTCTTTTTTTTCGCTATCTTGTCATTATATATATTTATCTTTTTATATATAAGATTGTAATAATAACTAAATATTATAATATCTAATGCATAACTTTTTCAAATCATATAAAATTTTTTTTTATATTAATTCTTTCATATATATTCTCATTTTATTATAAATTATTACATATACTTTTTACCATATTTTATTTTTAGATTCCATTTTCAGAAAATTATAAATTTATTTCTTTAATTTATATTTTAATATATTGGATATTTTTTTAAATATTTTTATATTATATTTATTTTGATATTATTTATTTTAATATTATATTTTTTTAATATTAATTTAGGCGAAAGAGAATTCAACGATTAATCTGTTGGTGGTCGAAATATGAATTTTGAATCTCCGAACATAGATCATGACTCTTCGCTCGTCTCAAATATTACAGAAGGGTATTCGGTTATAGGTGTACTCTCCCCTTTTTTCTGTTACGGTGTAGCATCCAGTTATGAGTCATCCCCCCATGGATAACCCCTGGAGTGTGACGTCATTATAGAACCCTCTCTCCCGGTCGACGGAAACATGTCATCCTCAAATTATTATGCAAGGGATAGAGCAATGTTCCGTCTTTTCTCTTCCTCTTTTTCGATATTTCTGTGATGATATTTTTACGATCGTGCGATACAATTCGGAGCCCGTTTTAATCCATTATTATTTTTCTAATTTTAACAGCAATATTTTATATATCACGACACAAGGGATATTAAAATTGATTATTTAAATTTTGCAAATTAAATTTTATAGCCTTTGGATTGCCAGATAAAAACACTAAACATTTTCAGTTTTGAAAGTAAAAATAAATTTGGCAGTCGAAAGGAAATTTAATCAAAATATATTTCCTCGCGAATTTTTAAAGCAAATCTTATTTTATTTTATTTTGGAATTCTAATTTAGTATTTATTCATTAAATCATATTTGTGAGAATAACGAATAAATTAGAGATAAAATAAAATTTGTTAAATTAAATAAAAATTAAATAAAAATTTATTTTAATAAAAAGAGAAAGAGAGAAAATGTCTCTTTTCCTTTTATATAGGACGAAGCAATAAAAATAAATTAGCACAACTTTCTGTTCACGCTTTACAAAACAGAATCATTAGGGAATACGAGCGATCGTAATTAGGGTAAGCTAAAAAGGTCACGTGTTTTTATCCTGGTTCGAGTTTTTCTGGTGCAGCTTTTGTTGTCTATTTTGTATGCATCAATCGAGAATCTACATTGAAGTGTATCGCATTGTACGTAAAGGGCAGCATGTCATGTCCATGAACGCGGAAAAATGTCAACGGCAATTTTCAATCGATGACGCCCACTTTCTGTGCTAATATTGATATAATAGTTTTAATATTTAATGGAGGGGCTGTGGTAAAATGGATATATATTTAGCAAAGTGTTATTTAAGTCTTTATTCCTTAGCACAAACATTATCACTTTATACAGACGTACACGGGATCCATTCTGGTGGCTGTGAATCCTTACAAGGAGGTGGACTACTACACAAATGTGAGTAATTATTCGATTACATTATTTTTAATCGCATGTTGGTCATATAATATTACAAAATGAATTTTAGAGCCAGTGGAAATGAAGAGAAATTTTCATTATCATCGAAATGTTTGTTTGTACGTGATATTTTTACTTTCTTTCTTTTCTAGCTCGTCTTGTATTATTACAAAAATAATATAAAATAATTAAAATATATATCAAGATTGGATATTAATTAAAATTAATAATATTTATTAATCGACAATATTTATTACGATCGAATATCAAGAAAATACCACGAGAATTATAATAGAATATTATAATAGAACAATTATAATAGAATGAAATATAAATATGAGAATTATTAGATTATATTATATTATGCAAGATGTGACGATATAGAGACATAATATCAACGTTGCTTCCATCTTAACAAATTACTTGCTTATTTATGATGCGACTTCATTGATTTGGACAAAACAGAACGAAAGAAAGCGTGTAGAGTCACAATACAATGATATCGATGTGATCTATAGGCTGAGCCCGATAGATTGTTCGTGCGTACGATGCTTCCTGCGATTGACAAAAACCGGAAGTACCGCTGAAGAATAGTAAATATCAGACAATGCATGATGCCGCCGCTGATGGAAGTTGAAAAAGAGAGCTGCACGCGTCAATCTTCCAGCGAAAATAAACCGATGTCGTCCCTGCCATCACGTTGAAAGATTAAAACTGTTGCCTCGAATCTTTCGCTCTTGTTCGAGAATGCACTTATTGCATACGGCATTGCTCTTACCGTAACGATGCATTGCGAAAATCAGAGACAGCTGCGACCTGTTTAGTGAACTTGCAAATATTTTTTATAATGTGACATTAATGTAGCATTTTAACTTTTTTAACAAAGTCCTTTTATACTTTTTCGCGAAACATTCCTGCTTAAATGGATATTATGCAGCTCGTTCAAGTTGCAAATTAATCAAGTTGGAAAATTCAGTGGAAAATTAAAAATCGATAGAAAATTACATACTTTAAATATTTTGGAAAAATTAATTTTTTTTTATACATATATTTATGAAAAAATTAATTATAGATTAATTTTCTGAATTAAATTATATTATTTTTCATACATCGGAAAATTTTGGAGAATTATAGTAAAAAAGTAAAAACGCTTAAAATTAATTTTGTCAAGAGCAAGAAAGTTTCAAGTAATCTAAATTAATAAAAACAAAAAGATTAAGTATTAAAAATAATATACTTCTCTTTTTCATGTTTTTAATTTTATTATTTGACTGTTAAAATGATGACTGTTAAGAAGATGACAAAAAATTCAAAACTATATGTATAAATATATACTTATATTATATCGTGAGATATTCTGTCTGCCAATGTACTTCATCACGTGCAATTTGCGTACACCAGTGCAAAATTATCATGCTCGTGGTACAAAGAAAAAAAGAATTTTTCCATGGACAACTTTCGAATCCCGCATAAAGCATACCGCGGCAGGATGCTTTTATCGTATTGGCCTGAAAACAGGAAACGGAAGCAGCGACGTTGCTTAGAGCCGAGATAACTCGCGAAAACGACGAGAACGACTGGTCTTGGACGGCGGTTTTTTCTAGGTCACGTTGACGAAGCGAAAACCCGTGCGATAGCACGCTCGACTTGTTCCTCCACGTGGCGATAACGATAACGTTAACAATTAGTTGAATCGAAGCGCTCATTTGTGCGGAATTCATCGATTCGCTCGCGCGGAATCGCAACGCGACTTTTATCGCGAAGAGGAGAAGAACCGACGAAGCTCGGAGGGGTCCTCGGGGAGTTATCGACGATAAATTCTCCCCGTTTATTCCGGCGGAACACGCTAAGTGCATGCTTTCGATAACCGAGCAACTCACCTCCCTTCTCCCTCCCCCCTCCCCGCCTTCCCCCGGTGCATCTATTTTCGGGTGCGCGTGATGCTGCGGCTTCGCTCCCTCGTATACCGCAGACTCATCGTCGATAGTTATGTCTCGGAGCGCTCGCGATCAGGGGCGAATTATTTCTGGGAGGCCGACTGATGGCAGGCACTTTGATTAAAACTCAAAAGGCAGGAGGGAAAATATTTTATCGCGAGAGACAAGTTCAAAGGAAAGGAGATCGTCTGGTTATAAATAAATCAAAGGGAATTTAAATTGAGAGAATATTCGAATAAGATTGAAATATAACAAGTTGCAATATTTTTTTAAAATAAGAAACAGCTAAAAATGTTACCAGAAAATCATTTGTTATTATTATTTTATATACGTACAAGGTGTCCCGAAACTCATAATCAATCTTTCAAAGACAGATTCCTGGGATCATCTGAAGACGATTTTTCCTTAACGAAAATGTCGAGGCACTAATAATTTTCGAATTATAAGTGATTGGAAATAAGGGGTTTTTCGTAATCTAAGCTTTGCAGAAATAAAATATTAACAAAACCACATTCTTCGATTAATTTTAAATAGAGTTTACTTTAATTGAGTTTTAATTTAAGGCTTAATTGCAAAGATATATGATGACAAAAATGGAGAACATGCAAAAAATGATGGCCTTCATCGACATTTTCGCTGAGGAAAAATCGTCTCCAAATGATCCCAGGAATCTGTCTTTGAAAGATTGATTATGAGTTTTGGGACACCCTGTATTTAATATTATTATTAATTGTTATATCGGATATTATAGATATTTGAGAAGGCATCACTGCCATTTATATTATAATATATTTTTAGTATTTTTAATATATAACTTTACTCATTTGTTATTGTTATATTTTACATACATATATAATATTATTATTATTAATTGTTATATCGGATATTATAGATATTTGAGTAGAAGGCATCACTGCCATTTATATTATAATATATTTTTAGTATTTTTAATATATAATTGTACACTTTTAATATTTTTAACATTTGTACATCCTTATAATTCGGTGGAGTATGAAAGATAAGGGGGAGGAAGCTCTACTGCAATAATTCGCCACGTAAAAAAGTTTTATATTAAACCAACATTCGTGGTAGGCCTCTCTCAATTTTTTTATCAGGAAAATCTTCAAATATTATTCTGTGCAATCGCGCGCGTTTGCGTTGCGGGAAGCGACCGTGCAGCGATGCATGCGAGCGTAAATTGGATTGGACGGTGGGAATCGTCAGAGTGCGGCGATAAAATTTACTTTGTCTCGCATTTGGGAACGAGCTCGCTCGAGATGCCTTATACATTTTATAGCGCTTTGTCCGCAACGTGCGTCCGTTTGGGGAGGGGGGAGGGGGAGGGGGTGGAATTTTTAAAAAAAAGGGACGTCCCTTAAACTCGGTTACGCATTAAAAGAGGGAAAGTAGCCTGGTATTCTTTTTTTCTCCGTTATATTACATTTTTCATACTCTCGCAATATTTTTCGTGTTTTTGTATCTCGAAAATTTTTAAATGCCGGTGACCGATGCACGATTGTAGGACATGAATGTGAAAAAACATTTGAGGAGGAAAGGAATCGATTGTATCCAAGCAGAGATTTTATTACGCGGCTCGTTAGTCTTGCGCGCTCGTGGAAGTTTGCGGGGAAATTACGGCATCATGCGTGATTGCGAAGGTCAAAACGGGGGTACCGCCAACCGAGGACCCCTGCCGGGGCTCGAAGGAAAAGGGTGGCACACCGTGGTGGTGCACGCCCGGAGTTATTGATCGCGCCGAAGCACGCGGATCGGATTCGGGACTCACCGTGGACTCGCCTCGGAGCCGCTAGTTTCGCACATTTCTCCCCGAGGAACCCTTGCTGAATCCTCGATCCATCGAGATCGCTATGATCTAGGCGCGAACCACGCTCTGACAGGACTCGAGGCCACTCTTGATGACGATAAATATGCTCCATCTAACGCGTTCGCGGCAGCAAAATTCAATCTTTCAAAGCCCAGCCTTTTCATTTTGACAAAATTGAGTTTTCAATTTTTCTTTATTACACTTGCAAAATTACACCAGAATATAGATAAAATAAAAAATTATACAGCAGAAAACGATTAGATTTCTTTTCCTCATATATATTAATCACATATTAATGTATATTTTTTTATATTTTTTTCACGTTATATATTTTTTCATAGATTTGTTTTCTTCATATTATTCATCGCTGCTAAATAACTATGTTACGAATTAATACATATAACGTTAATAATACTAATTAACTAATTGAAATATTAATAATGCATTAGATTGGATTGTTTTGACTAATCTTTCATTTCATGATGCTCTTTTATACGGTTATACTATCGAATATATTTTTTGTAAAGTAAAAATTTTAAGGCTGACGCTCTTAATTAATTCGATTAATTTTGAAAAAAAATGTATTTTTTATTAGTCTACTATCGATTTTCGAATTAAGGATAATTAAGTTCGATGCTTTATTCTTCTTCTTTCTTTTTATAAATGTCGTTATGTATTGAATATATCGGTATATATATATTATGATGCTTTCTATTGATCGATAAGTAAGCAAATATCTTTGGATTGTTGTCGAGGTAAATGATTGCTATTCATAGTAAACCCACAATCAAAGTTGCGCAAATATTTACCGATATTAATGGGCAGAATGTTCAGAGGACTCTTATAGAGTCTTTTATTAACTGTATTGGACAACGATTGCATAGCTGATTACACGAACAATTATTATTATTAATATAAATTATACAGATAAAAATTGTATATACAAATCTGCATCTATCTTTTATTTTATTTAATCAACAATTATTATTTAATTTTATTTAAATCAACATTTTATTTTATTTAAATCAACATTTTATTTTATTTAAATCAACAATTATTTTATTCTTTGTAAATGCAAATTAAATCCCAAGTCAAATTAAATAGAATAGGAATACAACGTGTGGAAACAAATCGGATTTTAAAGAACCAATTGAACGATTAAAGTTGTGTAATTCGATTTAGGTCAATCGATTGAACCTCACATTGGATAGTTTAATGAATAGTCAACACCTGCAATAATCAAAGAGGTTGACGTACCGAAAATGGGTCGACGTGTTTCATTTCCAGACTCGATTTCAAAGTGCCTATCGCGAACCCTCCTTTGTAAAGGGAAACAGGGTTTGTCGACCCTACTAAGACAAACAAATTCGTTATCGACCTTAATCGATCGACCTAAATATTTCGGCAGATTACTATGTTTGCCGTTTGTTCTGTGTTTCGTGGAAAAAAGAGAACAAAAATCTTATACAAGTTTCTATCAGAGCGTGTTGACACGCGTTCAATTCCCTCGTTCGAACGATACTGATCGATGGACGTGACCCACTAACGAAATGGAACGAGGAATCGACATCCCTTTTTGCGCTTCCACCAGATATATCAACAAGAGACTTAAGGCTGAAAAAAGCAATGCTGATTAAATAACATCGCGCATCCTTAAACGTCAAATGTCAAACGTGTTTAAACGATACACATCCAGAAACTCATATCTCTTTTTATATCATTTCAATGCTGTTCTAATCGATTTGATTTTATCAATTTATTTAACAATGATAACATCATATGACATGATACGAAGAGTTATTCGTGAAAGAGTATATTATGAAATTTGAATATGAAACATTGATCAACGAAATTTTGGTGGCAAATTGTGCAAAGTTTAGACTTTCCAGCGTTAAAAGATTAAGCAAAGCGTGAAGATACGATGTTATAAACAACGTTGTATGACACGGCGAATATTTATGTGCGAATGCATATACAGTTTACTTCTCTTCCAAGAAGGAGCGTCGAAACTTCCGGAGCGCCGCCACCTGGAACGCGTCCTTTCACGCGTATTTTTATATCCCCGCTTGTTTTCTCAAGGGTTCTCCAGACCGCGTCGCGGCTTATCTCGAGCAGGCCATCTCCACAAATCATATGCCGAGATCATTTCTGTTGAAAGTGACTCGCTATGTGCTCGAGACTTTTCATATCGCTCTGATATCAGCAATGCAAAAACTAATATTGCAAAAATTATTTAAAATTTATTAAAAATTAAAATTATATATTGTATACAAAATTATAATAATAAAATTGTAATAAAAATTAAAATGATATAATGTATTGTAGATTCGAGAAGCAAGAAAATTTTTTTTAACGTAACTTGATAGACTCGATTGATTTTTTATTCATAGAAATATTAGAAAAAAATAAATAAGCAATAGAAAAAATAGTATAATCATATAATAATATAAAATAATATGTATACAAAATATAATAATAAATATATTTTATTATATTATATTATATTATATTATATTATAATATTATATTTATTATTATATTTTTTATTATCTTATATTATATTATATTATATTATATTTATTATTATATTTTTTATTATATTTTTATTATATTATTACATATATTATATAATAAATCGAGATTGATAGTACGTAATAAAAGATAAGATTAGATAGTAATATTAGAAAAGTAGGAATTATCGCGCCGATCGAAGGCACGATATTTCACTCGGACCAGACTATTCAACATTTTCAGAGCTGTCGGACTGTCAGACTCTCGCAAGGAAATGGAGCGTGAGCATGACTTTACACCATGGCGTAGGAAAATTGCGACATCATTTGCAAACGCTGCCTCGAGAAACGGTTCATTAATTCCCGTTTCGTTCATTAATTCCGATTTCGCCGAGGCTCGCGTCGTCCGCGCCGATTAATCTTCCCACCGCCGAGGGACGCTTGTTTTGTCGCACCCTCCTCGTTATCATACCGTGAAAATTCCAGGCGAGTGCATCTTGTAATAACGAACATTCGCGAGCGCATTCGGCTGGCGTTCCGGCTGGGGAGGGAGGTCCGACGCGAAACTGGGTTGCACTACTACTTGGACCGCGAGACCAACTGCGGAGAGCTCGTTTATGTACGCGTGCACCACGCCGTGTCCCGGGGGAGAAGGCGAACAGGGGTCATGATGGGAAACTCGGTCGTCGATGCATGCGCCTATCGAATGTCGTCGCGATTAATCGGGTTACCGGGGCTGATGGGCTACACTCGCCACATATTTCCAGACTCCTATCGGATTATCGCGGATGATTACGGCACACGGAGGATAATATGTATTTATTTAATCTCTCTGCTTTCGCTGACATGAGAGCAAAGAAAGGCGAAAAAATCCACCCGCGTGCGTTTACATTTTGATGCCGGGAAATGGGGCTATCTCGTAAATCATGCGAAGTTAATATCGTATATAAAGAAATTTTATCATCTTTGCGAGAAAAATAATTTTAGAAACGTTCTATTTCTCAATCGAATCATATGGGGGTGTTCCTAAACAAGCGTGAAAAATTTCGGAGGGTAATTTCCTGAAGAAAAGTTCCCATGCACCAGTATCTTAAGTATACTTTTCGAGCTACAAAGGTATTCAAAGTTAGAAATGGCACTTCAGAAAATATATTTTGACAAAAATAAAATGAAACAAAATTAAAGATTGTTAAAAACGCCTACGAATGCATTCTCCTTCTTAATGATTGGCGAATATGAATGATATAAAAATATCAGATATATCGTGAATTTTTTCACATGGTGTGCATGGCATGCGATTTCTTAAATCGATATTTTCAATCGGAGTGGTATAAACTAAAAAATTTATGACTTCGGAAAAATAAATCCAGGGGATTCGATACTGGAGGCCGGAGGGACCAAGGTTGAAATCCTGTTCGACCTATCTAAGGATTAGGAGATACACTGATATTTTTAAAACTTTAACATCTATATCTCGAAAATTACGTCGTTTAAAGCATCAAGATGCGTAAACTTTTCTTCGAGAAATCTTCAAGGCATCACCCATCGAAACTTTTTCATGTTTAGAGAGAAGCATCCTGTATAATTAAATTAAACAATGATTTTTTTTATATTTTAGGATATAATAATTATTTCATTATAATAATTATTTTTTATATTTTAAATTATAAGGATTTTATATGCCAATCCTGCAGAGAGGATTGGCATATAAATTCATCCTACATTGATACAGCGAAATTTTATAGACTTTTATCGAATTATAAAATAATAAAATAAAATCCTTATAATTTAAAATATAAAAAATAATTATTATAATGAAACACGTCTACCTTTTTAAACATCATTTGCCGTACTATAAACTGTCTATAAAGCTTTTTCCACTTTAGGAGAATAGATTGCATCCGCTTCTCGTTTTCAGCGGGAACGCTATTCTCGAATCGGACGAAGCTTTTAGAACCACCCATTCTTGCGAGGTCGAGGAAAGCAACGGCACCTCGTTAACAGCCGGAACTCGTTTCACGAAAAGGGCATGTCTTTTCGTAGGAGTACGTGAATCGATACCACGAGCAGAAAATGGGCGCCTTGGAGCCGCATGTGTTCGCCCTGGCGGAGGCGGCGTACAAGTCCCTGCAGGACACCCAGAGCAACCAGTCCTGCGTGATATCGGGCGAGAGCGGAGCCGGCAAGACCGAGACCACCAAATTCATCCTGCAGTACCTGTGTTCGGTCACCAGCAACGTCGACACGTGGGTGGAGCAGCAGATCCTGGAGGCCAATACCATCCTCGAGGCATTCGGTAACATCCATTGATAACATCCGCGCGATCCTCGTTCAGACGCGAAAAGTTGTGGTCGCGAACTTCCTGGGCCTTCTAATCCTGCAAGAATTTATCGCGATCCCAAGGAACATTTGCTTCAAGAACCTTTGCCTCGAGTAATACATAGAGAAAAATATCATTCTACTGTCAAGAAAAGCGATTATTTATTTATTAGGCAGTTTATTCATTTTTTTTTTTAAGTAATAGTTTTCTTCAACAAAGAATATAATCTTGATAATAGTAAAATATACTCATCACAAGTATTAGAAAATCTCATTATCATGTACACAAAAGAAGAATTTATTTTACGAAAAATCAAACTTATTTTACGTCAACTTGTAATAAGTAAACCAAATTTTGGTTTTAATTTAATATTCTTGACTAAAATACTGCACTTACTAAAATTCAGAATATATTCAATTAAATTTAATGCTTGTGGTGAACTTATGATTTATTTGATATACAAACTTATGATATACTTAAAATAAATAATATTTACTTGAATACAGTATTTATTTTTTTCTGTGTACTATCAAAATGTAATCGATCAAGTCTTTTAATACTCATTAAATTAATAATTAAAAATTGAAGTAAATGAGATAGCAGTTTCTTGATTATATTGTGATGAAACTTGAATGATATGGCCCGTATGATGGACTTAATTGACCATTATATGACGTTGCAAGTTTGTTAAGAGATTAGTCTTTATACTAATAGGCAAATAGCATGTGTTGGAAGCTATTTTTAGCATCGCATATTATTGCAGCAAGTTTGTTAAGAGATTAGTCTTTATACTAATAGAAAAATAGGATGTGTTGGAAGCTATTTTTAGCATCGCATATTATAATTTTAAATTTAACATCACACAGATGTGTTATTAAGATTAAATATTTGTAATAAATTATATTCATTCATTTTTATTAATAAGAAATTAATTTCGAGTTAGCCTCTATATATATTATAATTTTAAATTTAACATCATACAGATGTGTTATTAAGATTAAATATCTGTAATAAATTATAATCATTCATTTTTATTAATAAGAAATTAATTTCGAGTTAGCCTCTACTTAGATTTCTGTTTAGAGAAATTCGCTTAAGAATAATTTGGAACATTTTATACATAATGACATGTAAAACTGTGAGAATATCAAGAGAGAATGGACTAAAAATAAGTCAAGTATTTATTTGCCAAAATAATTTTACGGTAAACGATTAAACAACAATTGGCGTTTCATCCGTAGAAAGATACACAATAGGATACATTATAATCGTATTCGGAAGTAAATGAAGTCGTGATTCATCAGTCCTAGCTACGAGTGGCAGTAACTCAGGTGTTAAATGCAACAGCAAGGGGAACGAAATGGGTCACGAGGCAAAGAGGTTTTATGAATAAAACACGTCTGTCTGGTATCTTTCATTCATTTCAAGGAATAACGATGTATTTTTCAAGTCCGATTTATTTTTGGCGTTTATCCTCGTTTTCGTTCGAATTCCATATTTAAGAATAATATTTACTTATTAACGAATCTGGAAAATCTCTTGCTGAGAATTTCAGATTCTCCGATATTTTAGAAACAGACGGAGTTGATGTCAATTAACGAGAAAATAAATTTAATTTGTTGAAAATAGGCAACGCGAAGACGGTGCGAAACGACAACAGTTCGCGCTTTGGCAAGTTCATGCAGGTGTGCTTCGACAACAAATGGATGATCAAGGGATGCATCATTCAGGATTATCTGCTGGAGCAGAGCCGTATAACTTTTCAGAGCCCGGAGGAGCGCAATTATCACGTATTTTATAAGCTGGTTGAGGCTGGCACGAGAGACAAGGAATTCGCCGAGCAATATAAACTACGACCGGCCAGTCATTACAAATATCTCAATCAGTCAGGCGTAAAGATCGACGGAATTTCTGACTCTAAGAAACTCGACGCTCTCAGGCTCGCTTTCAATGTGCTTCAGGTATGGCTATTGCTCTCGCGTTGGGAGAAATTTACTCCTATTATTATCATCAAATAATTAATTGCTTCCCTCTCGCATCACGTAGGTCGCGCCGGAAATGTGCGAAGGCATCTTCCGGGTACTATCGGCCATCTTGTGGCTTGGAAATTTAAGCTTCGAAGACATCGACGGCGAAAGATGCGAATTGTCGACGGAGGACAGGAACATAATCGAGACGGTCGCGCCATTATTGGGTCTTCAGGTGGAGGATCTCACCAGGGTGGTGTTGATACGGCAGATAAATGTTCGTGGTAATATAACCGAGATTCCGCTGAAGGTGCAGGAAGCACGAGAGAACAGGCACGCGATGGCAAAGGCGCTCTATTCGCGCACTTTCGCATGGCTTATCAATCACATCAACAATTGCACGAATCCAGGCCAGGATAGTTCGCGATTTCTCGGAGTACTCGATATCTTTGGCTTTGAGAATTTTGCGATAAACAGCTTCGAGCAACTTTGTATCAATTATACGAATGAAAAACTGCACAAGTTCTTCAATCATTATGTCTTCGCGTTGGAACAGGAACTTGTAAGTTTATTCTATTCTTCTATTATTCTATTCTTTAGAGATTTCGTATATTGTACAACAAGAAGTGTTCCTATTCTCATAAATTTGCTTTCAGTACCGCCAAGAGGAGATTCAATATTCTCACATCACGTTCACGGACAACACAATGTGCCTGGAATTGATCGAAAAGCCTCCACGATGTGTTCTTAAATTGTTGACCGAACAATGCCATATGCCGAAGGGTTCGGATTTGGCCTATCTGACAAACTTGCATGCGGAATTCGAAAGCCATCCGTGCTACGTGAAAGGAGACGATCGACGAAAGTGGGAAAAGGAATTCGGAGTCAAACACTACGCGGGCTGCGTGACGTACACCGTCGAGGGTTTCGTCGATAAGAATCGAGACGTTCAACAGGACGTGTTCTTCGATTTCATGTCTAGGAGCACCAACGAATTCGTCCAGGAAATTTCCGTCTATCAAGATCTGTTGGGATACACCGTTGCACGTGCAACCGGTGGCGCGACCACGACAATGTCACGAGGAACGTCGAAAGGCAAACCGACTCTTTGTGACTCCTTTCGACATCAGTTGCAAGCCTTGGTAGACGTATTACAGGCAACAACACCGTGGTACGCGCGTTGCATCAAACCGAACATGGAAAAGATAGCCAATCACTACGATGAGAAGCTTGTCCTAGACCAACTCAAATATCTCGGCATGCTGGATATTATACGCATACGTAAAGAGGGCTTTCCAATACACATGACCTTCCACGACTTTGTCGCGAGATATCGTTGTTTAGACAAGGGTCGAGCATCCCTCTCCTGCGACGAAAAGGAGGCAGCCGAATATCTGATCAGTAAACAAGGTATACCGCAAACCGAGTGGCAGATTGGCCGGACGAAAGTATTTCTAAGAAGTTACGTCCACGAGCCTCTAGAGGATTCTAGAAATCAGATGGTAACCAGAAATGCCATCGTAATACAGAAAGTTTGGCGAGGATATGTCAAACGACGAGGTACACTTCCTTTTCATAAATCTTTATTTTACTATAATTTTATTATAACCTTTTTTAATTTTTATTTAGAAACAATTTAATATAGAATTGCTTTTTTACATAAAATTATTATTTGTCTTTATTTATTTGGAAATTATTATAATTGTTGTACATTCTTTCTGACAGAATACAAGCGTATAAGGGAGGCGGCACTCAAAGTTCAACACGCTTATCGCGGCTGGAAACTGCGAATAATGTTTATCAGGAAACGTAGAGCTGCTATAGTGATTCAGAGTCATTTGCGAGGCGTCTTCGCAAGAGAGGTGGCTGCTGCGCTGCGTGAAATGAGACGAGTCGACGAGGAAATGAGAAAGAGGGAGCGGCTAGAAAAAGAACGAAGATTGATGGAGGACAAAAAGGCGTTGGAGGAAAGCCAGAGGTACGAAAAGAAAAAGGGATTCTGTTCGCTTTTCTCAACCCACTTTGCTTACAATAGTAATCTTCGTATAAAATCGATGCAATCGATTAATTATGTGCGATCGATTGCGTGCGTTAATGGCTTGTGTACCTTTTGTAGCACGCAGTACAATGGTATTGTCGGGATGGAATCTGGGTAAGTTGTCAATGACGGAAGCTCGTGTGACGTGCGCGTATAACGGCACGCGTTCGTTGCATGCCAAGTATCGTTGCGTGTAGTTCAACGTTCGCAAGCGTTATCGCTTCCTAGTTTAATACATGGACGAGGGAGCATAACAATATAAACATCGATTGTGATATTAAACGTTACACATTCAAATAATAGGCATTTTTAATCGAGAAAGCAAGAACGAGAAAGATACAGCAGCGTAAAGTTCAAAACTTTAATATTTAAAATTTTTTTTAATATTTAAAAAACATCACATAATTATAATAATCATTACACATAAATCTTATAGCTGTTATGTTAGATTATTTGTATCTATAGTTCATTTCTTTCTTTTTATATTTACTCAATCTGTATCATTGTTGAATCGTATTCTAAAGTTTTTAAATTCGTTATTTTAAGATTACATATTTTCTTATTTACGCATTATTGCACCAAATGCATCACAATTATGAATAAACCCTTACACGAAATTTATTTGATTTTCGTAACACTTGCAGCACTTGCATCTCTGGGAATATTAATCGATCATATTGTACAATATAATTTATTTTACAGGAAAGCGCAGGAAGAGATTGCCGCCCTGTCGCAGATGGCCGAGCAAATGAACTCGAAGATGGCTGCCGCGTCAGACTTGCAATCGGTAGACCTCGACAATCTATTCTCCTTTCTATCCGACGTACAATCGACCAAGAGCAATCAGATTATCGAGGAAATTGGCGAGCAGATGGACGAACTGGTCGAGGATCTGGACGTAGAATTAGAAACTGTCATCCAACAAGAGATGGAATTAAATTCCAAGGCTGCCGAGTCATCGAAAGTCACTTCTCCTGTCAATGGACAGGAAGTGACATCTCCGCAACAACGATTACCTGCGAGTAACTTGAGCACTAACAAACTCGGTCAACCGAGTCTTCCGGAACCCACGGAACCACCCCCACCGCCACCTCCCCCGGCGCCACCTTTAGCGATGAACGGCGACTCGTCGGATGACAACGGCGAACCGATTTATGAGTCTGTGCTGCCGCGCGAAGAGAATGATCTCAACAGTCCGATCTCCCACAACGGCAGTCATAGTCCTGGTCAAATGGTCAACGGGGAAACTTGCAGCTCTTTGTCCTCGAGCAACAAAATGACTAAAGAAATGGCTGGTAGCCCGCCATCCAGACCAGAGTCAACGAGTTCTGTCGGTCATCATCATCCGCATCATCATCATCATCATCATCATCAGACAATGATACCTCAGGCGCAACAAAACGGTCACGATCAGTCGCAGTCGCAATCACAAACGTCACAGCAGTTGCCGGTTGAGCGTGAGCAGCGACGCAAGTGCCGTGTGGAACGAAAATTGCAAGAACTCGAGGATAAGAAGGAACAGGAGAACGAGACTACTTATCACGATATCGTCGAGTTTGCGCAAAACTACTTCAACAGTCATGAACGTTCACCGGAAGGCACCATAATAGCCACGTTGACCAGAAAGTCGCGTGGCAAGAGCATCGAGTACATCCCGAAATACGAGATGGTCACGTACTACAAAGGATCTAGTATTCCGAATTCGCATATTCATATGTATGATCCCGATAACGTAAACGTTGCATGTTCTGTATTCAGGGTAAATATATATTTACTATTATTTAATTAATTTAAATAATGTATATAATTAAAAAAATATATTTACATAACATATTCATTGTCTCCTTTCAGGATTTGTGCAAGTATATACGCGGCGAAATGAAACTGGACCAAGAGATTGCCACCATCCAAAGTATCATCGCTTATGGGATCGAACGGGAAGAATTGAGAGACGAAATTTACGTGCAAAGCATGCGTCAGGCGACCAATAATCCCAACACTGAATGGGCGGAACGTGTGTGGTTGTTGTTATGCTTGGCGATCGTCGCCTTCCAACCGAGCAAACTACTCTACAAGTATTTCGTCTCCTTCCTGAAGAAGAATCTCGCCCTCGAGGGCAAACTGAGACAGTATGTACAATGGTGTGTGGATAATTGTAAGAATACCAAGGTATCTTGCAGACAACATCCACCGTCCACCGTGGAGATTGCTGCTATGAGACGATTGGGCACCATAGTCTGCCGATTCTTCTTTTTGGACGGAAGAACAAAAGCGATCGATGTACATCCAACCGACACAGCCGCCGATGCTGTCGCCAAGCTTGGAGAGAAATTGGGTCTTCGATCACTAGAAGGTTGGGCCATTTATCAGAGCAGACCAGATGGAGAGGAACATGTGCGGGCTCATGATTATCTGTATGACGTGATCGCCGCATGGGAAATGTGAGTGTGATGATTTGGATAGTAATTCGAAATGAAACCTTTTTATATAAATTATAAACATTTGTTTAGGAAACAATGCAAGTTAAATACGGCACAATCGACGTTCTCGACGTTGCGACGTGGTAATAACGCTACTCTGGGCAGCGGTGACAATCGCTTCGTTTTCAAACGAAGATTGTTCCGTAATCCGAGAGAGATCTCACAGGATCCCGTGGAAGTCAATATGCTGTACGCGCAAGCGGTGTACAACGTCGTAAAGGTATAGATGAAGTTTCTAAGCTATATACAGGGTGTTTCAGATCACCCATTTAAAAACTAGAGAAGTGGTTATTTCAAAAAAGTAAAAACATTTTCTTTATAAATCGGGTGCGCTCTATCGAATGGTGATATTTTCAACTTCTGGTTCCAGCCGGAAATAGGCGATTCAGACCGAAAGTGCATTTTTTTAAATGGAACCCCCTATTTTTCATTGCATATTCTTGTAGCTTACCTCGAAAGCTTTCCATAACACTATAATAAATTATTTATCCATGAAGTACTTTTCGAGTTATGAAGCTTGAAATCATTTCTTAATTTTACATAAACTATAAAATATCTTGTAAAATATTCATTTTTCGATTATCTTACTTTAATACTTTAATGTACAAAATAATGAGAGGAATCAATTGGTGTAAAGAAAACACATAATTGTTTCTAAGAAAAAATATGTGATTTGCAATTAACAATTCCATATTTTTTCTTAAAAACAACTGTATGTTTTCTTTACACCAATTGATTCCTCTCATTATTTTATACATAAAAATATTAAGATAAGATAATCGAAAAATGAATATTTTACAAGATATTTTATAGTTTATGTAAAATTAAGAAATGATTTCAAGCCTCATAATTCGAAAAGTACTTCATGGAAAAATAATTTATTATAGTGTTTTGGAAAGCTCTCGAGGTAAGCTACAAGAATATGCAATGAAAAATAGGGGGTTCCATTAAAAAAAATGCACTTCCAGTCTGAATCGCCTATTTCCGGCCGGAACCAGAAGTTGAAAATATCACCATTCGATAGAGCGCACCCAATTTATAAAGAAAATGTTTTTACTTTTTTGAAATAACTACTTCTCTAGTTTTTAAATGGGTGGTACGGGTGGTCTGAAACACCCTGTATAATGTCTGCTAAGAAGCTTTTATATTTTCTTATCGTTTATCTTTCTTCCAGTGCGACGATTTTCCGGTATCCGAAAAAGTGGCACTGCAATTGGCAGGATTGCAGGCGCAAGTATCCCTCGGAGATCCGAAGGACAACGATAGGCTGGATTATTACAGCGAGGTGGACAGTTTTCTACCTTATAGAATTAGCCGCGCTCGCGGCGACGACGTTTGGGTACCGATTATAGCGCAAGCACACCGACAATACGGCGCCGGGCGCAAGGAACTAGCGGCTAAAGTTCTATATTTATCCTGCGTGATGCAATATCCTCTTTACGGCACGACAATGTTCAACGTTACTTACCGAGGATATTGGTCTTACGGCAACCAATTGATTCTTGGTATCAATTGCGACGGTCTCATGCTAATCAAGCCAGACGATAAGTTCGTTCTGTCCGAATATCGTTATCAAGATGTCGAGAGCATCATGCTGGACCCGAGCGACTCATTTATCACAATTTCACTATTGCGACATAATCCTGATAGTTCGCACAAATGTTTCGTATTCGAAACCCCGCAGAAAAACGAGATTGGCAGTTTGATAGTCAGCTATTGTTCGGCGCTGGCGGGTTGGATTACGGAAAATGAGGTGCCCACGAAGAAGCTCAAATGTATCACCAACGAAGATCGTATCAGGCTTTATCACAATTTGGTTAACTGCCGACGAACGCTAGTTGATTCGGAAATCCTGAGGAAACCGCAGGATTCCGGCGGCGGTTTTCTCAGGAACACGCTTCGCAGATTATCTAAGCATCGAATAGAGAAACTCAGACAAGAGCATGGAAGCGCCGATCACGGCGAGACCTATAAAGGCTTCCCATACGCTTATTGGGCGTTTAGTAGGCAGCAGATACCACAGAGTCTGTCGAAACTGCCAGATCCCGACGAGCAGATCTCTTTAAGTATCTTCCAGTTGATTTTGACTTACGCGGGACTCGGCCAAAACGGCGATACAGTCCGCAGAGTCGAAGATGAGCATGTAAATCTCATACAGACCGTCATGGAACGTTGCATACGAAAAGAAAATCTGTTGGGCGAATTGTATCTACAATTGATCAAGCAAACGACCGATCATCCAGATCCGAACAATCGCGTTAATCTGCGACACTGGGCATTGCTCTCGCTTGCATGTTCCGTCATCCTTCCGCCTCAAAAGGTTATACGTAAATATTTGCTCGCACATTTGAAGCGATGCGCCAGCGATTACGTCACCGAGGAGGGCAAGTACGCGAGATTCGCGGAAAAGTGCCTTTATAAGACTCAGGGCACCCGAAGACGGCAATGGCCGCCGAGTCGCGAGGAGATCATGTGCACCATCAATCGCCGACCGATTTACGCGCGATTCCACTTTATGGATGGCCAATATCACGCCGTCGAGTTTCATCCATCTGCAACTGCCAGAGACGTCATGGAAATCATCAAGATTAAGATAGGACTCGAAGAAACTGCTATGGGTATATCGTTTTATATTTTGTCAATACTGGAATATATTTAAATATTAGAAATATTGCAACATTTTTCAATTTTATTTCTTTTAATTCACAGTTTTGTGCTAAATTTATTCGACTGATATTTATTACATTTATTCTTTATATCAGGTTACGCGATTTACGAGGTGTTGGGACCTACTGAGCGATCACTGATCCCTGAGGAGAAGATAGCCGACGTAATGTCCAAATGGGAACGATACAGGACATCTCAAAATCAACAGAATTCACAACGGAAGCACGTGCATCATTTCTTCCTATTCAAGAAACACTTATTCCTAGATCAATACATGAATCTAGATGATCCGGTGGAGAAAGAACTATTATATCATCAAGTGCTACATGATTTGCGCGCCGATCGGTTTCCCATCACTGAGAAAGAAGCTGTGAGTCATCGCTTTAGGAATACAACATCTCTATATTCTTTTCATAATTTCTTTCTCTTTTCTTTTTTATTACATTTTTACGTTATTTATCTTCTCTCTCTCTCACTTTACTTTATTTCAATTAGTTTAGTTAATATTTTTTATAATTATCTTATGATTATATTAATTACCTTGTTTATATTTTTTCTTTTGTCCTTTTATTAATTGGAAAAAAATTTAATTTTAAGCTTAATAAAGTGTTGTTAGTATGCTGTTTCTACTTGTATCACGAAATTAATATCGCTCACAGATGATGCTGACGGCTTTGCAAGCACAACTGGAATTGGGCGATTGCCTAGATACCATATCGGAGCAAGATTACCGAACGATATCGAGCCACTGCCTACCATCAAGATTGGTGCCGTGCTTGTGCGTGGACGGTGTGCGCCAGCACCATCAATCCTTGCGCGGAATGACGCCACCCGAGGCAAAGAAGGCTTTCCTGAATCTGATCCAATCGTGGCCGTTGCATCGAGCGACGATCTTCGACGTGATGCAATCGTTTACTTCGAATTGGCCTCGCGTGCTGTGGCTGGCGGTTGATCAGCAGGGTCTTCATCTCCTGGAGCATCGTTCCAGAAACGCACTATGTACCTATGAATATAGCAGTATTCTAAGTTATACGCCCGCCGTTAATTGTCTGATGATTATTACCGGTACGGATAAGAAGCAGAGCAAGGTCATTCTCACCACGTCGCAGGTACGAAAATTAAATATTGTTTGTCAAACATTATTGTAAATTTTAAATCACACATTTGTATCTAACTGTCATTTAACTTCGATCGTTCTCCAGGCTCATCAGATAGCGAATCTGATTCGGGAATACATGGAGGTGCTTCAATCGCCTCCGGAAATACCGAGACGAGACTCGACGATGACCGTTCAACAATTTGCTGCTCAACAGCATCAGCAACAGCATCAGCAACCGCCCGCAACACTGCCGTCATCTACGACCGGCGGACGAAAGTCCCGACCCGCTTCGATGTTACACAGAGGTGCTCCGGTGATACAATCACAAGCTAGTTAGAATGGTTAGATAAATCTCTCGCGGAAATTATAAGATAGTTTCCCTTCAACCTGGTACCTAAGTCGAATCTTCGTCGGGCGCGCCGCACGTTCCATAATTATAAAGTGCCATAAACTCGAGATACGCACACAGCGGTATTATCTATTTTATCAAAGAATACGCATAATTCTAATATACATATACATATATATATATATATATATACATATATACATATTATATTGTATAATTTTAATCCCCATACCACCCACCGCTCCGTCTTGTTCATTGCGATAAAGCGCTCCCTGTAATTATATATTAGCAGTATTCCTTGAGAGATTAAAATATGTAGACTGACGTTTAGTATCAGGTTGTGGCGAAAAGAAAACATTACATTTAAATACACGTCGTGCTTCTAATGTTAAATGCGGTCGATCCCCTCGCACATCAGACCCAGACAAGATCTGACAGCAGACAGGGTCTGAGAGACGTATCGTAAGGATATCAGAAAAGCATCTGCAAATTTTTTGTTTCGAAAAGCTGCATTTAGCGCTAGATGCTGACGACGGTAGGTAGAAATATTGATCCGGGGCTTTGATGATGCTTTTCTCGGTCGGGCCTATCGAGAAACGACGACGTACCGTCGTGAAAACGACAACGCTATAGCCTAGGGATACTTATTTCTTCCACTATTTATTAGATTAGCTTAGAATCACGAAAAGATTCGTCAAAGGCTATAGATTTAGTCTCCGCGTATATAACCGATTTATAGCGAGATGCGTGATAAACAACTGCCATTAGAAGAAATATCGATCGCGAGGAAAGTTGCCGAGGATTTTTCTATTTCTATTATGACCGTTATCATTGTTGCCTTTTTTACCTGAGCGATCGCCGCCACGTTTTTGATAACGATTTCCGCAGCACGAAATATAACGCAACGCGAAGAATTTTCAATATACAGCGATACGTTTGTTCGATACATTATTCATTCCGGCAGTCAATAATTATCCCACCGGCATATCATATCGATTGAAGGGTAATATAATATCGAAGAAAGAGAAAAGAGCTATTAAGAAAACCATATAAGCACTTATAAAGCGACCAAAAAAACGTAATCTCTCGAACATAAGTGTAACGTTTGACTGAATATTGCCTGCTGTATCAATGCTAATTGCCATAATTATATTTCAAACATAATATATACAGTGGCGGCCAGAACCTTATAATATTTATTGATATTATAAATTCTCGCGATATATGAGAGAGGGGATCTATATAGATTATTTAATAAAAATATATAATTCAGCTGTGAGATAAGGGTTTTGCTGTAAAACATTTGTGCGATTTTAAAAATCGAATAACGTATCCCATCTCTTTAGAGTCACCGTTATATTTCCTGAAATTGTCGGGTAATCGCCGAAGAAAAGATTGCCTTTTTCGAACCAATTTATTAAAATCTATATATATCTGACATATTTAATAGCATCGATTTACGAAAATTATGCTGTATATCGTCGAACAAATTACAATGCGTGAATCCAAATGAAATGTAATTCGTATTTGTAAACTGTACGAAATCTCGAAATCCGAAAAAGATATTTCTCGTTCGCTAAAACGAACTAAAGCGTTTAAAATGTCGTTTGTACTACAAATGTACACAATATGCAAAAAAATGTTTGCGTGCGCGACAAACGTAAAAACGAATCGAATTACTCCGTTCTTCGTTCTCTAGACAATCTTCCTGATATCGTCGCTTTCCTCGTATAAAGTTAATCATTATCGCTGAATTTAGAAAAAAAAAGACAAAGGAATAAGGCATAACGTGTACCAGTTATGTAGATCGACACGATCGCATTCGTTCAACAAGCATGCTACGATATTGCGTCCAATCGAGATTTTATTTTTTTTTATTTTTTTATTTTTTAATCGAGAGATGAAATTCATTCGTGTGTATAAATCAATAATAAAAATATCTCACGTTTAATGATTATTTCGGAAAGCTTCTTTTCCGAATGTAATAATTATTCATATAATAGTCTGTAATCTCTTCGACTCTGATATCTTAGCTGCGATAACATTTTTCCCGAAAAAATATGTACTTTCTTTGCACTTAAAAACGAATACGTTTAAAAAAAAAGTGCGAATTAACCGAGAAAGAAAACAAGAGTGAGCGATGTTTCTAATTTAACATATGTATTTCAGATTGATTGAAAGAGTTCAATTTATCATTATCGATTTTATAAGAGATTTAATTTTAACGTATATAAATTCATGTATATAACTAAAGAGTTTTGAAAGAAAACCATCGAGTTTTATTCGATTGTGGGATATTCTCAAGAACGGTGACATGTGCGAAAGGATGATATACAGGATGTTTTTATGTTTCATGGGAAACAATCTATATAATATATCCAGTATTTTTGAATTTATTAATTGATCAGAAGAGATGTAGATTCATGTATTATATAAAGATGATTATTTCCAACAATTCCTATAACTTTGTTTAATTTTGTTTTTATCAAGATATAGATTTTTCAAAATTATACATCTTATTTTCTTAACTAAATACTCTGTAACTCGAAAATTATATGTATTTAGGACATTGGTGTATAATTTTTTTTTCAAGAAATTACTCAAGGAATCACCCTTCGAAATTTTTCGCACATGTTTAGGGTCTTGTAGAGAAACACGATCTCGTCTTATCGGGAATGCGAGAAAGATGATGACTTTGTTGATTCGAATCTTTGCTTGAAGTTTGGCGGAACCTCGACGTGTGCAGAGATAGACTGTGATCCGCTTTGGGAGTCTTTAGTCTTCGAGAGCCGTTTAATCGAGTGAGACTACGTTTTCGTGTTATTATACGCTATATATATATGAAACGATGCGCGAACGACGTATATGACGCTTGCGTACGTATGGATGCGAGAGAGAATGCGATAATTTAAGAGACACTTAAGGAATGTGTGTCTGAAATGATTTAAAACTTTGCTCTCCGGATATCATCAAAGTTTTCAGGACGTCTGAAGAATGTTAACGCGAGAGGAAGAAATTCCCTCGAGGGTTTCGAGAGAGAAGAAAGTTACTCGGCTTTTCCAACATCCTCCTAAGACGTCTTCGAAACCTCTCGAGTATCGTCTGAGTTGAGTTCTAAAAAACATTTCAGACTTTTCTCGGATGCGTTAAAAATTTTTTTTACGTTTGCGTTTGTGTGCGCGAGAGCGATTTCAAGTGATTGTGATTAATTATTATAAGAATAATATACGCGCGCGTGCATGCATGTTACTCAAGTGATATGGCACCAGCCATACACGTAGCTTTTAAGCGAATCATAAGTTATTGGTTGACACATGTTATTGAATTATATATATAAAAACGAAAGAGAGATCCTGTGTATATAAATATATAACTATAATATATATATATATAAATAAGGATACGAGCTCGCGAGCGCGCACGAGCGTTTTAGAAATGGCCGCACAAGACAAGTTGAATGGAAGATCAGCGCGTAACGTCGTTGTTACATGTGCAAGAGAGATTCGCGCCTATACGTATTATATAGAAAATATACATACATATTATATATGGATAAATAAATAAATAAATATATATATGCAATTCAGCGTGAATGTTTAACTTTAAGTTTTAACGCATAAAAAAGCTGCATCAGTCTTTGGCGTACTTGCAGTGTGTCTATGTATGTTCGTCTTTCTTTTTGTAAATTAAATTTAATTAAAGAACGAGTAATATATTTGACGCAATTACTAGAAATAATTTTTAGGATTTTTTTACATTTTTTTATGCGTGCGTGACTCAAGAATCCTTGGATTTCAAATTCTAAAAGCTCTCAGAATTGCAAATTTTAAAAACAATTTACTTTTGCATCCGATTGCATTCTCTTGATATTTGGCAATTTTTTAAGAATTAAAATTTTGCAAAATTACAGACGATATCGGTAAAAATAAATGGTTTAAAATTTTCTCAAATTAAATTATCAGAAGAATATAATAATCATATAAGAGAAGTGGACGCTAACTAAAATCCTACAAATTGCACGTCCTACAACTTTAAGCTTCAGAAATACGAAAATTTAAATTGAATTAGTTTATTCACACTTTATTTTGCATGTATATTAATGCACAAGATTAACAGACAATATCGCGCGGACATTTAATAAAGAGAATTATAAACAAGAACATATATAATTATCTATATCTTCTTTTTATTTGTGACTTTTTAGACAATAATCAGACAAATAACAGTGTTCGCTCCCTTTGGCGATTGCCCGTGTAATTGCTTGTGCGACACGAGCCAGTTTAACTCTAGTGCCAGTATATTTTATATCTCTTTATTACAACATATATATATATATATATATATATATATATATATATATATTATATATATATGTATCTCTTGCATTCGTTTAATCCTACACAGCTTTGTGGCCACAGCACCGAGGAAGCCAAATCAAGACAGCAAAGACAGAGGCAATCATTTGTGCACGCGTAAGTTTCTCGTATTAAATAATCGCCACAATAATAATAACACAGTAATTACTATAATTAAAAAAATAATAACAATAACTCTAGTAATTACAATAGTCGACGAATAATAAAATGGTAATAATTCATTATAGCGATAAATAACCACATCTATTTGACAAGTCGACAATCGTCAAGGTGGACGCGGATAACATTTCATTCGCATGTTTCCACTTTGTTTCCTTCGATTGTCAATCTCAACCTCTTTTTGGACGTGCTCCCATCCTCCTGATTTTAATATAAACATCGCGGGTCTTCGCGACTCGATCGTTTTCAATTTCTCCACTTTCCACACCTCTCTGTTTCCCGAATGCATTCTACTCGTATCTTGTATACAGGGTGATCACGCCGGAATAGAATGGTTTTTCTACGTAGAACGCGATAGTGTCGATTTGCAGCATAAATATTATATAAATACATCATATTATAATTTATATATCTCGCATATGCATATAAGCTGATCGATTTTTAACGATAGATCTGCCTATATATTATAATATATAATTATAATATTAATGTAATTTATATAATATATTATAATTATATATTTTTGATACATTAGTCAAAGATTGTTATCGCGCCTGCCGGATTTAAATACCCGTCAAATCGCCGTGAAATTTGTACAGAAGAGTGTATGCATGTGTTTGTATCCCATATGCGCGTCGACGAGGACGTCGTTTTTTTTTACATTCGCTGGCGTCTCGTATTTTTTTTCCCCTTTTTTTGGCACTTGCAATTAAATCGCTGAGATTCTTTAGGGATACGTAGAGAGAAAGATGGCGTGTCCGCTGGAAAACAAAGCAATTTGCCGCTCCGGAAATAATTTCCCGGAGGAAAAATGCCTCTCGCAGAAAAAACACAGGTATCTCGTGCACCGGGTGGTGGTTTCTAATACACTAGCCTGTGTGTGATTATCTCTATATAAGAAAACACCGAAAGCGTTAATACACACTCAGTCTGCCTTCAAGCACATCTGAAGTTTCTTCTTCCTTCTTTTTTTTTCTTCCTTTCGAGAAGCGAGAAACGGCCGTTTGCCGCGTCACAAGACCGACGATCATCCATCGCGTAAGTTATGACATTAGGGTTTCGCCGAGTATATTATACATTCGTGAAATAATACAACGTAATATTGCAGAAAATATAATTTGACGACTCGCGTGGATCGATTCACACGAGTAAATACATAGAACGTAGATCGCCAGTCCGTGACACTCTACATAAATCAAATACATACGTGCATCCATGCACACATACGTACATACACACACATACATATGCAACAAAATATATATATATCATTTAATTATACGATATGACAGCCGCGTATTCCCTCCGACGTATTTATAAAAATTAAAATGCTGTTAAGAGATGTGAGATCATAATAAAACAACGTCCTTGTGTAAAACACGGATCAGGAGAAAACACCTGGAGGGAACACACCTTTAGAGCACCAGATAATAACACTTGATAATCTAATATACTGATGTTTACTACGGTTAACGAAATATAAATACAAGAAATCGATAATGCTCATTCATCGCAACATTCGCTAATTTAACAGCGCGGGTGCAAAAGGGGCCTCTCGATTTTGGCAACCAACTTGTACGCAAGTAGAGATTCGCATTGAGTAACTTTTCGTAAAATTGTAAAGGGATCACAAAGTTTTTTTCGCGCGACGAGAGAAAAAGTTACGGAATCTTGTTTATATAAATTATATGGCAATCGATTAAGAGGCGCGTTAATAAAGTTTCCGAGGACACCGATTTTACACGCGCGCTTCTCTATCACAATTACACTTATATAAATATACCTATAATTTATACTTCTTTTTTTTTTCAGACTTCTCTCGACTCGGCCACTCTTCGCGCACACTCATACGTACGTTGATTTACATACCGGTATCTATTGCGACGAGATAGGCTTGAGTATAATTCATATCAAGTATAGAATTCATGTAGAATCAGCATATGATCGATAAACGCAGTGTGAACGTCGGGAAAAGAAAAATAGAAATCTTGACGGAGATCACAATATCGCGCAAAAGAGGCTTCGGTTTCGCTTTTCCTCGCTTCTCCTCCCCCCCCTTTTTTCACTTTATTTCCCCTCCCGACGATTAGTTATGCGTATTTTATTACCTGTATGCGTGATTCGCGTTCAGGATTAGAGGCCCTGGCATTGTTGCACTCCCAAATATAACAACGCTGTACAAAAAACTAACAAACGCTATTCGCAAATTACGCAAAATAGATTACGCGCGAGATAATAACAGGAGGCGATATTTTATTATCGGATATATATATATATAAGCATTGCGTTATATGCGTATAAAAAAAATACATGTTTGTGTTTCCGTATGCGGTCGCATCAATGTGTGTCACGTTTCCGCCGGTTTTCTGGCGAATATATATAAGTGTGGCGCAAATAGAGTGCGGATATTAAGTCTCTCTATAACAGATATATAATAAATATATAATATTTAATATAACAACACTCACAACATAATTTTATATATTTATATATATGTATATATTTATATATATATCCGGAGCTAATTTGGAGGGGGGACGTATTCCTAAAGCAATTCCCGTTTTTCTCTTTTTTTATTTTAGATAACATACGCGAGAGTTTCCGTACGCAAAGCCGTTTAACGACAAATAACGTAATACATATCTTATATATTTTGCTACATACAAAGTTAACGATAAGTTAGCGCAATTTATATGATGCAGCGATCATTTCCAATTATTTCTTCAGAGTATTTCGCTCGATTTTACCCGTCAGGTTCCTATATCTTCGATTATTGCGGACGGCTGTTTTCTCGATTTCTCTCGTATTTTTTTTTTTTTGTCCATTTCGTTTGTCGAGGGAAGTTGTACGTTTGGTTCAACGATTAAATTGTGCATTGATATAATCTGCGAGATATTCTAAGAAATCGATTATCGCAAGGTACATTCAGTTAAGCTATATATTAAGTAATACATAGACACAAGTATAATCTGATCTTTATTTTCGATAACAAATCTAGTTCTAATGAAATGTAGATCGAAAACGCAAAATTATGCAAGTGCTAAGGAAATAATTTTTAGACAATAAAGAAAAAAATCTATGTAAAGAAAAAACATGATAAATAATTATTATTAATTAATGTTACACAAAAGTAGAAATAAAAACAATAAAATATATTTGTAGATCGTTTTAAATATTTACAAAAAAAAAAAAAAAAAAAAAAAAAAAACGAAAAGTGTAAAAGTATGAAAAATAAGATATTCGTACATTAAGTTTTGCATTTCCGGTTTACTGATACATTCTACGATATTGTGTGTATGCGTAGTATAATGCACGTGCAATTTAATTCCTTTACCGAGCAACACAGATTCAAAATAAACGAAATAAATGGCATGAAAACCGCTCGATTCGTTCACGAAAAGAAATAAAAAAAAAGAGTAATCATCCGTGCGCCTCGAGACTTACAAACGCGATTTGCGAATTACATTTTGTAATTATATGATTACTATACTCTCTAAGCCCGGCGATTACTTGTTCTCTCTCAATTTCGGTTTTTACATGATTACAAAGTGTACGGCGTCATCAAGCATGATCGCGCTTAACGTTACCAAAATGGAGCCCCGGTGCTGATTATTAAACGCAGACTCTTTCCCGTTTTTTTTTCTCCTCCTTTTTTTTAGAATGTTTTATCCGACACATCGTGCATACAGGCATAAGACGATACACGGAATTTCACTGTATATACGCGCGGTTCTTCTTATTTCTCAGACCCAGGATAAAATCCAGGATATTCTCTTTCGGTTTCAGCGACATTGGTCCCTTTTTTTTTATCTTATCTTAATTCTTAATATCTTCGAGTTTCCTGCCTGACCCTCTCCAAAAACAATGATACCAAGATCGTTGAACTGAAATCAAATATGGGGATTTTAACACAGGTCTGGAGAAACAAAAAGAACTTTACGTGACAATGCGCTTTATACGTGTGACATATATATATATATATATATATATATATATATATATATATATATGCCTATACATACATACATATGTACATATGTATATATCTTTACAAATTATATATCTCTTAGAAAGGAAAAAGGTACCATCATCAATAGTCTCAAGACTCTACTCACTTAATTACTCTATATTGCAACAATGTTAATTTTCTCTTATCTCATTTTTTCTTATATTATAATTTATATTATTTTTTGTTAACGCATTATATATATATATATATATATATATGTATATATATATAAACTTAGATATTAACATCAAATTTGCACGCATTTGCGACTGCCGCTTCAATTCTTCGTCCCGAAGAACGGAACGATATATCTATTTTTTTTCAAGCACGCTCAGTCTCTCCAACAAATGTAATACAAGTTCTCTGTATTCTAAATAGAATATAACGCAGGTAAATGCAGATGATTCAAGAAAATAGCGATAACCTGCATAACAACAGTTCTTTGTGTGCATTAAACGATTGACTAGTCATTACAAAAGAATCTCACGACGAATAGTACATCGTGAACTATCGTCGAAATATCAAGCAAAATAAATAGTATATTTCAGCAACGATAGTTCTTCCTCGAAAGTACAAGTATTAACTACTAAAAAAGAAAGTACATAAAAAAAGAATGTACATAAATTCCATCAATTAATGTACAAATCTTAATGGCGAGTTTGTCGATTCGTGTAGAATTCATTAATAAACAAAGCTCGCAAAAAGTACATTCATACATAAGTAAAAATACAACTCATCCCAACGGGAAAGTTAGATGCGTTTAACAAATTACCGATCTATAATCCGTAACAAGCAAACGTTTCGATAAATCTTTGAATAAAAATTCACACGCGCAACTTGGGGAAATACTGTATAAATTAAAGCACTTAATACATCTTGTACACTGTCGCGAAAATTAATAGAAGAATGCGACGCCGCGAAGAAAGAAAAATCAAGTAAAAATTAAGTAAAAAAAAAACTTAACGAAAGAAGTACATTGTTATAAACTCGTTCGCTCTAGCGCTTCTCTCGATGATCGTCGAGGACGACAAGTTAGGATACCGTCTAACTTGAACTTTAGAAATCACTGCATCGCTCGTACGGGCAACAATTCCATTTATCGAGGTGTTCTCGAGGGAGCTTATCACAAGATTCACTGAGATCCGAGGGGAATTTTTGACGTTACGTCGATTTCGTCGAATCGATGTGCTGAGGACGGCAATTGTTCTTTCGTCGAGAAATCCGTTCAGCGATCATCGAGATTCGCGTGTGATATCGCGAGTCCATAAATTGCTAATTAATTTGATAATAAATTAGTAGTCGAGACGAGGGAACGCGGCGCGCCAAAAAGTGGACATCCGATGCATTTGCAGCCGATTATATCTAAGTTCAAGGAGAGGAGAGTCTCATCTCCACGCCCGCAAGATATCTGCTTTTATGAGTTTTGATACATATACACATCGTAATCCTAGACACTAGTAACAATACGTAGGTACACGGTATAGCTGTAATTTTTTTTTTTTTTCGAAATAACGCACGAGACCGTCTTTAATGTTTTTTTTTCTCTTTTTAAAGCGTAGGCCGGACTAACCCGTCTCTTTCTCTCTCTCTTCCTTCCTCTGGAATTTGATTCATCCTCCCGTCAATTTGAATCTTCAAAAAAGCCGACTTATTCTGTAAATCTCCGTTTTGACTAGATTTATAGAGTAAATGCACATACGTCAACGAAGCTTCGAGCGCTACCTCTCGATTCCTCATTCACCAAAAGCGTTCTCTTTTATCATAGATATACTCTTCGAAGCGAGTTTTTCAATCGACATTAATTGTCCCGATAACGCTCGCGTGTCTCTCCACATTCGTGACGTCGTCAAACATGATTAGAGATCAACAATCATGGATCGTCTTGCGTCTTCATCAGGTACCTTTACATCGAGACGGTTTTCTATCGCGTCGACGGGCCGAATGAAATAGATATAAATATTAGATAAGTCACGGGACAAGAAAAAAAAAAAACGCCGACAGACATAAGCGAACGAGTAACGCTAATTGATAAATTCCCGATTACGTCGTCGAACCGGATCACGGGGGGGCGATCCTGTGAATCAACATTACACGCGAAGATGTATACGGAAAAAAAAAGTATCGACACGGTCTCGATCGGACGGTCAATACCTGTTACGCTTAGAACACTATAATTTGCTGGTCGATAATTATTGCTGTACAAGCGAAAGCTGTTGGAACGATCAGCCACAACGTTCGCCCCGATGTGACCATTGTTGTTGTTGTTGTTGTTGATAATGATGATGATGATGATGATGATGATGATCACGATGATGATGATGATGACACGCGAAAGCGACGAGCATTGTGTGTCTTGCACTTCAAGTATATATTATACATATATATATATATGTAAGAGCTCTTCATGTGTACCGTCAACGTCGCGCGCGTGCTTCTTACGTCTTATAGGAATCTAAAAATTGTGCAACAAATGCTCGACGTATGGCCACGAAAGTCCCTTTTCCTGGACACCCCCGATTGTCCTTGAACGAGATGCACAAGAAACCCGCGCTTCGAGTCCTGCACAGGCTCGAAGCGCGCGCTGGCATTTACAGGCTCGCGCGGTATCCGGGAAATGAGGACGTCCCTCCCATTCCTCCACGTGTATGCGTGTTCCTTCTTACTCGCGGGTCTAAGATCTAGGAAGGACATAAAAATGTACGGTTACACAACAACGACGATATATCACGACACCGAGTCGGTGCGTGTCGTCGCCGACGAGCCGCGTTACCACCAGGGAGTGGGTGGAGATGGGCTACAAACTTGGAGCTGGGAGTCGCGCCCATAATGCGGCTCGTCGACGAAGGCACGCACCAAAGAGATTCCCGCTAATAACTCGCACGATTTTGACGCTGCTGTCGATTTCTGCGCTCTCGCTTCACAATTACTACGTTTAAACACTAAGTTTGTTTTTTTTTTTGCTTACTTATCGTTATGTCTCTATAATTCTACCTATGCGTTATTAGAATCATCAATGGCAACTCTCTCGCATTCGCGCCAAAGATTCAAGACCGTAGTTTTCGAAAAGTGGGGCTTGACAATTTGCGGTTCGTCCTCTCGCGTGTATTGAAAACGCGTGAGTTTGTTGAATCTTTGGCGCAAATTGGACGATGCACACTTCGACGCACACTGAAGTCTGAACGTATCGTGTTGTATCTGTCGCATGTTCATTCCTCTTTGTCCTCGCCATCCTTGATCGAAATTATGCCGACTCGAGAGGACGAAGACGATTTACTGATACATAACTACAACGTCAACGTGCCACGTGCTTAAAAGTCACTAACAAAATATTACTATTACCCACTCTTATATCTAAAGAGTTTTCAGCTTACTATGTAGATTAAGTACACGAGTTCAAGCCTGTTCAAAGATACCTATCTAGAGACAACACATTTAAGGATCGCGAAAGGTGCATCAAAATCGCTAGATGGACTTGTTGCTTTTGCTCGGCATTTTTAGTAAATTTGATATTTTTCTCTATGTATAATACATTCTCTCTCTCTCTCTTTTTCTTTTGCTAAGGTGTATTATATTCATGGCTATATATATATACTATATGCACCCCACACGCCTTTTCAAAATCGTAAGAGGCGCCGAGAATCGCAAGTGTGCAAATTTATATATATGCTCGCCGCGAGAGTTTGTTCCTTTCTGCCGTCTTTTAGTGTTATGAATCGCCTCCTCTCGCTTACCTTCATGCCTTACTAAAATAAATTAGATTTCTATATGTATACGTATATGTGCATATATATATGCATACATACATACATACATACATACATACATATTTATATATATATATATATATATATATATATATATATATGCACATACACATACATATGGATATAATCTATATTTGTATGTACTTTGGAGACCACCAGTGGACTCTCTTTCAATCTATAATGCTCAAGTTCTACTCAAGTATGAAATGACGCGCGCTCGCCCGATTTAGATCGTATCCTGCTCGATCTCTATCACGCGAGCGCGATTATTCTTTTTTTTTCTTCTTTTTTACCTAGATCCTATCGGAGAAGCGCTGCGAGATGCTCCTCTGTGTGTATGTATGTGTATGTGTAAAGCTCGACGAAAACTTTCGACCTCGTTCGATTGGCGCTGGACAACAGCCAAACGAAACGAAAAGCCGATTTTTCGATTCTCTCTACGCTGGATCTATCCTAATGCATAGATTCTTATACACATAAACTCGTCGTTTATAAATGTTGGAATTACTTAAAACTTAAGCCCAGCTTATGTTCAGTCTTCGTCGTAGCGTTAATCCGTCGAAAATCCTACGTTTTTAAGAACTAAACTCGACTTATTTTTTAAGTAATATTCAGTTAAATTTAAATTTTTCCCATGGACATTATTCTCTCGCTCGTATTACGACAATGTTATTTTCTCGTAATAGAAATTTTCAAACAATAAAATACGTTATAAGTGCCAAGCCGTTATGTAAGTATAAATTCGATTTGTACATCTACTTAACGTAATCTTAAACATTATCAGATCAAAACTCAGTTGTGTTTGTAATATTTGAAAAATATTTTCAATATTTTCAATTTCACTCTATACGCGCAATTGTCACCGACAAAATCATCCGATAAATTCATTAATAAGAAATCTTTCAACAAAAAAAAAAAAAAAAAAAAAAAAAAAAAAAAAAAAAAAATATATATATATATATATATATATATATATATAGAAATTAAAATAATTACAAAAAAAACAAAGTATTAAAAAGCCGGCAAAGACCGGTATTTCTCCTCTTTCAAATTTGTTCAATCTCCTATTTTATATAAATCTATACGAAATTGGAATCTCATTGCGCGTTTCTAGTAACATTAAATATAATTTAAGTATGTATCACTTTAAAAAGTGAATTGGTTGATCGCCCAGCGATCGTCCGTACCATTTTGTACGAGAGCCTATCTTTTTTCTTTCATTTGTACCGCGCCACAATGAACAGTAATTGCGTTTCCCAGCAATTTGTTTTCATACAGTCGTAAAATCCTCTCGATTACTGCTTCTACTTCCGGTAACACTGACTCTCTAGTGCTCATCGCAAAAATGATAGTAAAAAATTTGCAATTTCTGCCAATCTCGCACAATATGCCTTAATAAAATACGCCCTTCTAGCATTCGTACCGAATCAATTCGTCGCGCTCCTGCAACGGTGAAAAAATATCTCCGCAAAAACGCAAATTCTCAAGAAAATGAAACTCTGATATTCTCTTGATGGCTTGGCTAACATTTCCGAATTCTCAGTATTTCGGATCGCCACCAATGTGCTTCAATTAGTCGAAGACTTCCATCCCCGTAGTGAACAGACGTATCATCTCCATCAGACTAATTGGCCAAAGGAGACCTCGAGCAGCTTCAAAACGCCGATTTCCAACTTTGCGTTGTTTAGCGCATCCGCCACCTTGTTAAGCGGGAAGTATTAGGACGATATTAATTTTTCGGTTCCACATCCTCCACAGTGATTTATCATCTCTTATTGCGCTGCAAACCTGGCTGGATTAAAGTCCTTGTTGACCATGGAAAAACCGCGAAATTCCTCTTGATTGATGTAGCTCACTTCCTCCGCATCTTCCGGCGTCAATACAGGATCCTCCTTCGTGAATTCCGTATCAAAGTTCATAGCGTCTTTCTCATTTTTCTGAAAATTTCGATCGAATTACATAGAATAATCACTTTATTGTTTACTTATATAAAAATTAATACAAAAGCGAAATGCATAAAACTCACAATTTTAGGTCTAATTGGTGGTTTCACTCTGCGCGCTTCAAGCGCTTCCCAATCCATGTGTTGGAAAAATGGATGGACCTTTATGGCATTTTCGCCACCATTGGCTACGACACAACCTAATCGCTTGGCAGGATTTTTAGTCATGAAACCTTTCAAAATAGACACGGCCTCCTTGGAAATCCATATCGGATATAATACATCATCTCGTAAAATCGATTCAAAGAGTTCATCCTCATTATCGGCTTCGAACGGTGGCTGTCCAGCCATCATCTCATACATCAAAACACCGAGAGCCCACCAATCGACGCTGGCACCATATTGCAATTCCTGCAGTATCTCGGGAGCTATATAATCAGGCGTGCCGCAAAATGTCGATGTGGTCGTTTGTCCTTCGATTATATTTTCTTTACACATTCCAAAGTCCGCCAGTTTACAATGTCCTTCCGAATCAAGCAGTATATTATCCAGTTTTAGATCGCGATATATAACGTGATTTTTATGGAGAAACTGAAGGGCGAGTGTCACTTCCGCCGCGTAGAAGCGTGCCCTTGCTTCGTCAAACTTTCGAGCCTTCTGAATATGGAACATGAGATCACCTGAAACAGATTAGAAAACACAATAATATAATATTAGATGCGAGTAGAAAAACCTGTTGTTTTTTATATATTTTTATTTTATATATTTTTATATATATTTTTATATATTTTATTAAAGCGAAATATACGACTTGTACCTCCATTTACGTATTCCATAACAAAGAAGAGTCGGTCAGTCGTTTGGAAGCAACTGTGGATGGCTGTTAGAAAAGGATGCTTAGCCGCTAATGCCAAGATTCTTTTCTCTGTCATTGTGCAGTCCACATCATCATCTTGAATAATGACGTCTTTCCTCAAAATTTTCACGGCATAAATCTCGTCGGGATTAGTTTTTCGTTCCACTAGCATCACTTTACCGAAACTGCCTTTACCGAGGACCTTGATAAAATTAAAATCGTGTATACCGAATTTTCTTGGTTCACTGCCATTAACAGGCACTGCGTTTTCATTGGCATTAATTGGTGTTTCCGCTCCTTTCGCTTGTAAAATGTCCGTTGCATCCGTAACTGTGACTGTAGGTGTTGGCGGACACGCAGATACTCTGTAATTGATTTTCGGAGTTTTGACTTGCTTGTCTGCAGAAATGTTCATCGTTTTCAGAATATCAGCCATAGCTTTAGTATTGATACCGCAACTGTTTGGTACATTCTTCTGACACCGTTTATGAACGTTCATGTTACAAGCTGTATAAAAAATATGATACGGTTTAATAAGTTAATTAAGTTAAATTAAGTTTTAAATTAATAAGTTTAATCAAGTTTCTTTCTTCAAAAAAAGAATTTTTGAAATATAAATTATTGTGCTTAAATTACCTTCGCATTGTAAACCTTGCTTGAATAAACCATACAATAGGGATCCACAATGGTCACAAAATGTAAATCTCTTGTAATTATGAACAACAAAGCGATGTGGCATGTCTATGCTGAATCGCGGGCTTTCTGTGTCTTGATTCGACTGTAATCCAGTTCCCTTATCCTAAGTGAATAATTTGAAGAAAAAAAAAACAGAAAAAACAAACTAATATAATAAAAGAAAGAAATCGATAAGATCTAATAAAATTAATCGTATTTGATATAAAAAAATTTGATATAAAAAATCTTACATATGTATATATAACATTTAGCTATTAAAATTATCAATAAGTAACTAATTGAAAAGTGTAAACATAATATATATAATCTCAATAATAACAATGCACAAAAAATTGCTGATAATAGTTTTATCTTATGTCACATCATTTTAAAGAATACTAATGAACCTACCTCATCTCTCATTCCTGGACATTTGGTTATCACCAATTTGTGACATCTTTTGTGAACTACACAAGTGCATACTGAAACAGTATTACAACAAATATCTCCTTGTAGAAATATTCATCTCTGAAATGTAACTCTAAATATTGCACGTCTAAAGCTGGTTACATGCGTGATTAAAAAATTATTTATATTTAATATCGCATAATAAGCATAGAAATAAAATCATAATTTATTTAATATTACCTCAGAATGGGCAAAAGCTGCAGTATCGAAAATGGTTATTGAGCTCTAAAATGGCGTAGATAATTAGGGAATTTTTATCAAAGAACATGCAAGAAACTAAACAAATTCCCATTTTGCCACAAATTTATATACTAGCAATAGAGTAGATAATTCATAGAAAAAAATAATTCACAGAAGAAACCTCATATAATCATTCCATTAAAAATCAGTATCAAAATCTTTATGTAATAATAGTCGATAAATAAATTGAAAAAATTTTATCACAAAACAGATTAATCCCTAGCCGAGGTCATAAGTACATATCCGTAATAAACTGAAAGTGTATGAAGAAGGCGACTGTAGAGCTGCAGTGATTGTAAAAATAAAACATTAAAAAAAAAATAAAAGCTGCATTAAAGTCAATCGATTAAGAACTTTAATTGTCGTGATTTTTCTCATTGTAAAACTAATCAACACATATTCTTAACTGCGCTACATTCATACATAATAGTGCAGCACAAGCAGATACATAATTATAATCTGTTAATAACAGTGTATGTGTCTTCTCACCTTGACACTGATAGCCCTGCTTGCCCAAGCCCCTGAAATACAACAGACAAAACACGTCACATTGTATCCTTATTATACCCCTTTTAAGACACATAGGTTTGCCTTCTTCAACCATATTTAGTCATCATTTACAATAGACTCCTGATAAAAAGGGTTTGTGCCATTGATTAAAAAAGAATATTAAATAAACTCATAGTTGGTATGTATCTTCCCTAATTTTATTCCAATTAGTTGTTATTAAAAAATATTGCCAATTGAAACAGCTTATATTGCATAAATGCTCCAGCACCTCGGTACCTTTAGATGGATTTAGCGGATTATATCATAAGGCATGTGCTCTTGTAATAAAACCCAAGCATGCAATCTGTCCAAAGAGGAAAAATTTGTTCCCATGTATAATGTTTGAAATACACCCTGAATGTAGCAATACCACAAGCTCTGCTTTTATTATCTACATTTGTGTGCATATTTTGAATTTTAAAATAGTTGTTTATAATAATTTAATCCTTTGAGCTAAACCATCGTTAACCATACTTGTAAATTAATAAAGATAATATTCCCTCTTGTAATTATTAAAGTAGATTACAAGAAAGGACCCAAAAAATCCCTAATCGTGCAACTCTTTGTTTACATAATCAATATATTTATATGCATTATCAATTTTGAAAAAGGCTACAATATTCTTTATAACCATGAATAGAATATACACCACTTCAAGCATGCTCCCATTTACCAAATATTTCGTAATAGTACACACTCGGCTCTCGAAGATAGTATCGAGAAGTACTTGCGCGTAAAACCTTAAGCAACGAGAAGCAATGGTACGCACATAAGCATACATACCATATGAATTCACGGCAGTGCGAACAGAATGTTGGTTGCCTGAGAAAGGTAGCCATGAATTTGTGCCCGTTCACTTGATGAATCCTTCGTCGCATCGCACCCCTCCGACGATAAAAGCCCTGTCTTTCCTTAAATTCTCGGCGCGGTTCCTTGCTGGTGCTGATACTGCTGATGCTTCTACCACTAATACTTTCTCCATCGCCTCCTGTGCTGCAACTCGACTGCCGATCTAAAATATTAAATCAAAGTATATCGAGGTTCACGTGCACTTGTCAAATATTGTAAAATATTTTTCCTTACCTTGATCATTCCATTGCAAATCTATTTTCACTCTCAGTTTTCCTTGAGGTTCCAAGTCAACCTGTAATTTTTATTTATATTGTTATTAATATATACATATATGTGTGTCAATACATGTATATGTAATATTTATATATAATATTTAAATAAATATTATTTATTTAAATATGTGATGTTTCAATTTTTAAAACTTGTCACATACATATCAATGTACAAACTTGATAAGCAAAATACTTTCTAAGATGAGAAAAATATCTTCTTTTACAGACTATTTATATCAAGGAAAATGTGACATAATTTCAAAACGGAATAAGAATAAATAAGAATAAATTATAAAACACAAGAGATACAAATACAAAGTTTAAATATTAATTGTAATCTAATCTGTCTCCACTTATATACAGCATTCAAAGTATACAGACTTGGATATTATTCGTCTCAATTAGTCACAACGATGATAGACTCGAGAATAAAGAAGAAAACCAACTCGCAATCCCGACACCATTGTATATTTATACATTCCACCTGACTTAAGTTCAGCGAAAGATCAAAGGGACAGATCCGCGACTAACCCAGAAGTCGGTGGTCTTGCCGTTCCGATTGACGAGCTCCTCGAACGGGATGCTGCAATTGGCAACGAAGTAATCTGGCGGCAGTGCCGCGTCGTGGAAGACGGTGAGGCCCAGCATGACCGCGTCCTGCACCTCGTAGGTGAAGGACTCGTTCCACACCGGGTCGAAGGTCTTTGGCTTCGTGGACGAGCGATCCAGGTGGTTCTCGTCGACGTCCAGCTGCACGTAAGGATCGAGTATAGGCTCATCCTGCCAGAACTTGCGCTGCTTGTCGGTCGCGCGAAGCCCCACCGCCTCGCAGATCTCGATCCTGATCGTGCCCGTAAACATCGCGATCCGTCTTGACGCGACGAGTGACAGGACAGGACGGGAAGTGAAGACGCGGCGCTCTGTCCAATCGACGGACTGTCACGCCTGACGAGCCGATGACACTTTGGCGCGAACAGGTTATCCGGAATCAATCTCGCGGACGATATCCGAGACTGCCAATCCGACCAACTGTTCAACAACAGGGGGAGTCTGGGATTCCGTTGTCGCGGGTGCAGGGATACGATCGTCCCTCTCTCTCTTTGACCGAAGAAATACGCTATCCGTCTCGTTCTCGCTCCTCTCGTGCCTCCTTTTCTCTCCTCACGCTTCACCTGTCCCTTTATCGTTCCTTCTCCTCTCTCCTTCTTCCACTCCCTCTATCCACTCTCCTTCTCCCCTTCTCTCTCTCTCTCTCTCTTCGAGCCTCTACCTCCTTCTCCTCCGCCCTTTCCAGTACCTCCTGCCACGAGCACCGACGAGAACACTGTGCAGTTATAAACACTTCGCCTGGCGCTTGACGTGCGCGCACAGGAACCCGCGCGCCGATGTTGCGGATCGCGACACGATGACGGGATGACGGCGCGATGACAGCGTCCGCGACGATGCGGCGACGACCGCGAGGCGCGAGTACGAGGCCTGCCCTCGTCCCCTCGCTGTCCTCCTGACACCCATCGGGCTCTCTCTCCTCGCGCGCGCTCTTCGATCTCCCTCTCCCTCTCTCTCTCTTACTCTCGCTACGAGTTTAAGGCGACGACCCGCTTGTACCGTCCCCGCGACTTCTCGGCGACGCGCACCACGTTCTTCGCAGGATCAGCGATCGCGAGACGAGCGTGACGTATCCATGTATGTTCTCTCTCTTCTCTTGGGGCAAGAGCGACGCCAGGAACGACTGGATCCTCCGCGCGCACCGACCGACCCGTACGGACCTGTCCGAGAACCGCTCGATTGGTCGTTCGCGCTCCGCGCAAACCACGACTCGACCCGATCAACGTCGACCGCGCCTCGGCCGTCTTCGGGCGTTTCCGAGTCGCGCACGAGTCTGTTCGTCTTTCGGCCGCGCGCTCCTCGCTTTCTCTCTCTCTCTCTCTCTGCGGCCTCCTGCAGGTTTTTTCCGAAAGAAACAGGAAATTTATATATCTCTGTTTCATCTTGAAAGTATAATTGATATAAGCGGACTTGTAATAAGTGTGTAAAAATTAAATATGATAATTAGATACGATATGATAATTATATATGTATTTAATTATGTTACGTACTCGCACGTTGCGTCTTATGAATTGGACATTAAGCTGGATTTATACAGTGTATCTTAAAAAGCTCCCATTTTTCCCCCAAGATTCATTAAATAATTAATCAGATTTAAGTATTAAAAAGATTTCTGGAAAGATGAATTGTTTAAAAATTAACACGAAAGTTTATTTTTTTCTTATTCAAATCTTCATATGTTGATAATGAGGAAGTTTGTCTTTTTATTGGCGCGATTTTATTCATTAATTACTGCTTTATTAAGCATTATGGGAAAAAGTGGTTCAGGACTTCTCGGTTTGTAATCAGGAATAACGCTATTTGCTTAGGGAGCTTTTTAAGATACACCCTGTATACCTATCTTTTCACGCGATAAAATTCAATGTTATTATATTATTATATGAAAAGATAAATTTATGAGTCGTAATAAAAAAATCGAAATATTAGAAACATGATAATATAATAAATATTATATATAAATGCTATTGAATATAATATAAATTGATATAAAAGAATATACATCTTATATAGCGAATTTATTTGACCAATAAGATGTTACCATATTATTCGGCAAAATTTATAAATTTATATATTAAATAATATTATATTATAGATTCCTTTATTTTTAGAAAATTAAATAAAGAATGTAAATTTTTATCATCTATTTATACTTGCGAAAATTATATAATTTGCGATTTATCTATCTTTAATGTTATTCATGATTCAAAAAGGAAATTTCCTCGGATTAATTGTTTAGGAAGTTTTTATTTACTTTTATTTATAATTTTATGACATTTTCTATATATTTCAAAGATTGAAAAATGCGAAAAGTTTCAAGATTATATTTCTGTTTGGAGAGAGGGGAGGTATTTTTCAATTTTATCTACTTTAATAAAATCGAGTAAATGAGAATATCCAGTGGAGAGCTTGTTCTTGAAAAAACAGGAGAGAGATTCGATCTTTATTCGTCTATATAAATAATCGAACACAATATAAATCTAATATTTACATCCGCGCGACGTATTAACGCAGTGATATCCTAGTATTCGTGATTTGCAAGGCCGGGATATCCTTACGTTAGTGACTTCCACATCGACGAGACGATGAAAACTGGCGAGAATGATGAAATGGTTCCTAAAAACAGTCTAGTTTCTCGACGATCGACTCGCAAATATTTATCGTCCATCGGCAAACTCATCGTTCGCGGATAAAAGTATTATTGATTTCAAAAATTGTTATTTTATATGCATTTCATTTTAGAAGAGATGTGATATTCTGAGCCACTTTATATCAAAATGGTTGAATAAATATATAAACATTTATAACGAATAATATCGAGATAGGAGTACATGTATGTATATAATACACATATTTTTTGCATGTTAAATAGAAATAGATTAATATTAAATCTCTGCAAAAATGCCATGCAGTGCATTCGGTAGATCGTCGAGTCCATAGACTATAATTTCGTATGGACAATAAATTATAGTACGAAATGACAGTGGAATATACATGACGCGGCTTTGACTATATATGTATTATACCGTGTACGACAGTGATTCGGGTCTCATGCTATTATTATTAATTCTTGAGTTTCTGTCTGTCACATACATCTTTCTCTTTCTCTCTCTCTGTCTAAATATATTATTATAATCGATAAGAAACAATCTCTCTCATGTAATATATTACAATATATATCTCATGCAATATATTGTAATATATTGCATGTGTATATATGTCAGAGAGATAGTTAATATGCATATGATTGCATATTTTATTTTTGTATTCGATTACATAAAAAATTTGACAGAGACAGAGCAGCTCAACGAAGCTGATTAATTGACTGATTAAAAATAAATCGCGATTACCGCGCAACTACTTGGAAGAGCTAAGTTAACGCGCGTGTTTCAAAGGATTTAGATTGTGACAACCCTGCACCTGTGTATGATACACTTGTTATAAATTGACTTTTTTTTCAGGACCTCTCGGAGACAGAAATTTAAGAATCACTACCGCACAAGGTGGAAACGATCCATATGAAAAGAGCATGAAATCGCTTTATCCTTCAACAATGGTGTCTGATGTATGAATATCCTTTAGCATCTGCTGTGCCGCAGCTTCCTTCTCCTTTTCATCCTGTTCTGTTCCCGATATTACATAAACCGGTTGTTGGCTGTAAGCGAGAAAGTGTTGATCCACGGGCAGCATCTTGGTAGGATCCTTCATTTTCATCTGCAAGACAGATTCCCTTTATTCAGCTGATATTTTGCATCATTTCGAATGTTAAATACGGTCCACTTCCGAAACGAAATTAGACTAGAATTACCACATTCAAGATATGAATATAGATTCAGTGTAATCTCGATAAAATTTCACGAGCGAAGTACCTTTTTACGATATAGCATCAGCAGAATGACGAGGCTGCTAATAATAAAGGCGCTTCCTGCCGCGAGCACCAGCGTGGCCGTTTGATAGACCGGCGTTTCCACTTGCGTGAGGATCTCGCGCTGCTCCAGTGCAACCATCCGACTCTGCGTCGCCACGGAAGTGGACCGATGCGTGAAGCGCGAGGTTGTCGCATCCGCGTACGAGCCCAGCATGGACAATTGCTGGATTCGCGTGAGTTCCTCCAGATGGAACGCCACGTCTACTTTATTCGCGCCGACAATCTCGAAGCTTAGGATCGCCGAGTCTTGATTGATCTCCACTCGTACGGCCTTCCGGAGCATCGCGCCGAGCTCGTGTAGAAGATCCTCGGCCTTCTCGGCGAATCGCGCCTCATCCGCGGCGAGGAACCGACCAGGGAAACGTAATGTCACCTCGACAGCTTCGACCGGTGTAGGGACTAAAATAAATTTATAATTAGTATAATTAATATGATGATTAAAGGTCGCACACATCGGTGTTTGAGAATTGGATTTTATTGGAATTTATATTTTATAAACTATATTTTTAATCTATTCTATTCATATTTTTTATTTGATTTTTTTTCATATTTTTTATTTTATATTTTTAAAGAGAGAGAGAGAGAAGGAGATCTTTTAATATAAATCTACCCAACGATATCGATAAAAATATTTATAACTCAATAAAATATAAATTAAGAATAAAATTCAAAAAAAATCACCAAAGTTATTTCAATAAAATTTGATTTAAATTAAAGAAGCATCGAGATTTCTTTCTACTCACGGCAAATGCTTGTTCCCTTCAAAAACGGCTCGGAGCCGATCAGCTGATTACCGGCTTCATCGACGCACCAGCAAGTATCGCCGGCGCACTGCGTAGGCTCGAATCTACCCTGAGGATCGCATATCGTCGGCACGTGGCCTTTGTTTTTCATCGCTTGACATCTGGTCCCGAGAATCTTCCCCGCTCGTCGCTCGTCCATTTCCAAGTCTAGCAAAGCGTTTTCCATGATCGCTTGAATCTCACGATCTATTTCTTGCGGTCCTCTGCTGCCTCGTCTGGCTTGGCGGAAATTACATTTCGGCTCGGTGCCTCTGATGAGCGAACCTTTGATCGGCTGACCTTTGCGATTGACGCACCAACAGACACCGACGTGCTCCAAACATTGCACCGGTTCCCACGTTCCGCTATCGGAATTGCATTTGGGTAAGAAGGTGGGTTGCTTAAGCCTCTGCGATCTCTTGAGATTCTTCTCGCGCAGCCTCTCACATTGCGATAATACGGGGCAGACGGTGTCGCATACCAGCCGGCTGGAGAAATCGTTGTGGCCCAGGGTGCAGTCGTGCTTTTGCCGGCACTCGTTACGTTCCGGATCAAAGAACCATCTCTCGGTCTCGTTGAGGCCCGCACTCGGATTGCACGGTACTCGCCTCGGTAGCTCGAAGCATACATCACGCGGTTTCGGACAACATACCGCGTACTCGTCCAACGGTGACAGCTCGCACTTGTGCGTCGAGGGACAATGGTGACCGTGAGGACCGCAGGTGGCGACCGAGCCGTTCTGCTCGATCAAGGGTGAACCGTTCGGGCACGGATTGTCTTTCTTCGGCAGACAAACGGGCACAGGAGGACACGGAGGTGCGCTGCACGCCACTTCCACCATTCTGCACGCCTCGTTCTCGCCCCGGCACGTCACGCTACGACACGGATCACGGCACAAGCATGTCGGACAGCCGGTGTCCGCGTCGAGCTCAAAGCCATCCGGACAATCAAGTTTGCAATCAATCTCTGGACATCTTAAAGGAGTATTGCAACGCGGTACGATTCCTTCGAGAACTCGGGTGCCCGCTGCTTCCTTGCCCTCTTCGTCCACGCACCAGCACACGCCGTTGTGACATTGAACCGGCTCGAAGACGCCGTTGGTGTCACATCTAGGTATATAGATTCTTCTAGCGGGCTCGCCCGATTCTCTGGCGGCGTGTTCAGCGACTGCACGGGCGTGCTGGCAGGCCGTGGCCATGACGGGCGCCACGCACTGCGTGCCGCAGCCAGTCGAGCAACATTTGTCTCCGGACGGGCATTCCTGATCATTGCTACACTGTAGTTCGCAGCTCGACGAGCTTGGCACGAGGTACGGGCACTGGCCTGGCTTGGTCGTCAAGCAAGCCGGTACCGCTGGACAGTACTGATCAGGACCGCAATTCACGTCGATCATCGTGCAGGTCTTTTGCGGGTCGCAAGTGATATCGCGGCAGGGCTCGTGACAACGGCATTGCTCGCAACCGGCCGCGTCTACCTCGTAACCATATGGACAGATCAAGTTGCAGTAGAGATGCTTGCAGATTCGCGTGAGCTCTTTGATGGCATTACAATCGGCCGAGGCAGTGGGACCTACTCCGGTCTTCAGGATCACTCCGCGATGATTCACGCAGTTGCAATCTGTGCTGTTGTGACACTGCAGAGATTTGAAGCTGCCATCCTGTTCGCACTGAGGCGCCGGGATTGCCAGAGACATTCCTTCCCTCGTTCCCTCCATGCGATCGTTGAAATCTCGCAGATACTCGCACACTGGATTTTCAATTAGAGACAAAAAAATGTTTTTTGTAAAAAAAAGACTTAAGGCGAAATTGAAAAAAGATTTAGAAATTAGAATGAAATATTTAAATATTCTATCATTATTAATAAATATATATTATTTGCATGTGATTATGAATAATAATATAATTAATATTACAATTGAAAAATAATTTTATTATCGTTACTGTTATTTTATACTTGATCATTTATTAATGAAATTTACTTGTGGGTGCCTTTGCAGAACTTAATGTTTCGACACAGCACACCGACTGACCAGCTTCCGGTACCACCGTGCACTTGTAATTGTTGGGACAAGTTTCGTTAGCGGAGCAAGTCATAGCATTTCCATTCTGATCGATCAGAGGCGTGCCAAAGAGGCAAGGACTTTTGTAGGTCTTCCTGGGTTTACATTCCGGTTTTGTTGGACAAAGAAAATCTGGACAGCCGTTCTCTCGTTTTAGAGTACACTCTTGTCCTTCGGGGCAGGGAAATCTGTAAAAGTATAATAATTTAATGAAATAAAATACACATTTTTATCTGTTTCACTTATCTTATATTATATTCTCTTTCTCTTTTTGTAATTTTAAAAAATCTTTTTAATTTTTTCAAATAATAAATTTTGTATAATACGAATGGAAAGAGATTATATTATATATTCGCTTTGCATTTTAATCGAATAAAAAATGATAAATTTAACATTTATAAACATTTAACAAGATATAATTTATAATTTAATAATTTTCTCTTCATGATTTTTGTATAAAAAATTTTCTTTTAAATATTCTCGAGAAAGGAAATATTAATTTCTCGCAAGTAAAGGATTAATCGTTGTTGTAGCGTAACGATACTCACCCTTCGCACGGATCGTCGCATTCGCAAGTCGGGCAACCGAAGGCATCCGTTTTGAAGCCGTACTGGCAAACCTGAGCGCATTGCTGAGGGGTGCAAGACGCCGGAAGCGAGCGCGCCTTGCTTATCGATCTACAGTCAATCTTCTTGGAGGGACCCATGGAACCGGATATCTTTCTACCCTCGTCGTCCACGCACCAGCAAACAAGACCGTTCCTCGAGCACTGCCTCGTCTCGAAACCTCCATCTGCATGATTATTTTATACTTGAAAAACTCTCGTACGAAAACATTTATTATGAAAAACTTCTCTTTTATATTCTAAGCACAAACATGTTACACAGTGGAAGGTGAAGATTATAAAAGAGGTCACAAACTCATTACTAATCAAATATACAAATTTCGACACAAAGTTTCTCTCTCGTTTAGCCAGTTTTCTTTCACGGACATGCAACTTCCTTCTTATGCAGTCGTCTTCAACGTAAGTTGGAGGGTCATACAAAACTGGTTAACGTGAAAGTTTGAAATGAACTCGTTTTGATAGACGAATATTCAATCATTGCGAAATAACTTGTCCATCTTACCTTCTCTACACTGTGGAACATAACCGCGGCCTTGGCGCTCGGAGACGCTGAGTATCTCGGCGAGCATGCGATCACGATGACACACGCTGAGTCCCCGGGGTATCACGCACACGTTACCGCCACAACGCTCGCTGCTGCAACACTTTTGGGGTCCAGGACACTCGAGATCGTAGCGACAGCTGGGTGCGCATGCTGAATTCGCCGGCTCCTCCACGGGACACGAGCCAGTTCGCTGCAGGTTTACGTTGGACGGACAACAGACTCCGTACTCTTGTCCAGGTTCCACCAGGCAGCTGTACATCGGTGGACAGGTCGGCTTGCCCGGTGTGTCGCCACAGAGGAACGGCCGCGGCGAATCGGTGATTTGCAAAGGTTCACCCACCGGACAGATCGTCAGCAGAGACTTGGCCTTCCGACAGCTGGGTAATGGAGGACACGGCGGCCGAGCGCAACTCATCTCGATCAACTCGCATGTCTGTCCGTTCCCCGGACAAGTGACACTGCGACAAGGATCCCGACACTCGCACTTGGGACAGCCAGTATTTTCGTTGATCTACGAACAACATTATCTTAAGTCATCTTCAATAAGATAAAGATAGTCTTATTTTAAATTTCTATATAAAAGTTTAAGATTTTTATGAGGCGTTTCACGTATCTAAATTTAATCTTTTTATAATAACGCTTTCATTGAATAACAATTTGTAATGCAACGATATATTTTTACTTTATAATTTTTATCTGGCACATATTTGCGCGGCTCGCAACTAAAAGAGAAAATCGTTATTGATGTAAAGTAGATATATTAAAATTCTATTAATTTATCGATGCAAATTCCCTGAACATTATTTTAGCGTTACATTTATAACATTCATTAATTTGACGGGTTTCGGATTTCATGAGCAAAATTAGAGAAATTATTACTATTATTTCCTAGCAATTTTTTGCTGACTTTTATTAATATTGAATATATATATTCGTATCACTCCATCCTAAAACTTAGCAAAAATTGGTACGAAATAATAATAATAGTTACTGTAATTTTGCTTGTGAATCTGGTCTCGTAAATCTAATGTTAAATAATTTAAAGAAGATGACATTTCTTTTATTTAAATAGAAAATTTATTAAATTATATGTATATATTTAAACATATAATCTCCCTCTCTATTTTAGTAAATAAAAGAAGTGTCATCTTCTTTAAATTATTTATAACAGCATTAGATTTACGGGATTACAAGCAAGATATATATATATATACAGGGTGTCCCGAAATACTCATAATCAATTTTTTAAAGATAGATTCCTGGGATCATCTGAAGACGATTTTTCCTCAACGAAAATGTCGAGACACTAATAATTTTCGAATTATAAGTGATTGGAAATAAGGGGTTTTTCGTAAACTAAGCTTTGTAGAAATAAAATATTAACCACATTCTTCGATTAATTTTAAATAGAGTTTACTTTAGTTGAATTTTAATTTAAAGCTTAATTACAAAGATATATGATGACAAAAATCGGGAACATGCAAAAAATGATGGCCTTCATCGACATTTTCACTGAGGAAAAATCGTCTCCAAATGATCCCAGCTGTCTTTGAAAGATTGATTATGAGTTTTGGACCTGTATATATATATATATATATATATATATATATATATATATATATATATATAGTACTGAATAATAAATTCAATACTTTTGGATACTAAATAATAAATTCAATATTTTTGGATTTTATATATATATATATAAAGATAAAAAGAGAAGAAATCATATTATCTAAACACAGACCACTCTTATTCAGAGTTATTAACAGAAAATTGCTCATGACAAGTAACAATATATAGTATGCATACTAGAAGAAGAATACTTTAACAAAATAATATAACATTTTTTTTCGGATTCACGTCAAGTATCTCGAAAGTGTATGACTTTACACTTGACAAGGTGAATACCTCGAATCCCAGGGGGCAGAGCATACGACAACTATGAGCCGGACAGACGCGGGGCTTGTCACAGTCGATGTCATTCTTGTTGAGCGCCCTGGTGCCGGGGATTTCGGCGCCAATCTCGTCGACGCACCAGCAGCCGCGTCCCTGCGGGTTACACTGTATCCTCTCGAATTCGCCGGTCTCGTTGTCGCATCGCGGCACGAACTGCGACAGGCCCTCGGCGCCGAGGGCCCGCGATCGCCTCACGGCCGCCAACGCCAGTTGCTCGCATCCGGTCAATTGGCCCGCGACGCACCGGAAGCCACACGCGGTCCTGCAGCAACGTTCCTCCGGCGCGTTCCTCTGGCATTGGGAATCATTGTCGCAGGCTGGCGACCGCGATGGACACACGTTCTGCTCGTCCAAGGACGGACATCGACCGGCCCTTAGCGATGGTTCTGTGTAATATAATAAAATATATATTTAAGTAAAACATATACTTATTATAATTTATCTAATAAATATTTCATTTATTTATTAGATAAATTAAGTAGTCTCAACGTGGCAATTATTAATGTTTCTACAGATCTCAAGACGATCAATAGTTCCGTGTACCGTGTATTTGCGCGGACGTACATTCGTAATTTGCATAAATCCAACATAACACTCAATTATTAACAGCGAAAGATTCATAAATTATATAAGATTTAGCGCAGATTGGATATTTTGTTGAAAAAGCTATTTAATATTAATTATTTATATTAACCATCATTTAGTCAATATTAAATACAGCGTGTTCTTAAAGTGACTATTTATTTCGCGAAATAGGAATTATAAGAAACATTTAAGAAAATTTATAAATATTTAGAAAGAAAAATATACTTTATGAACTTATTTTAAGGATGCTTTGTATGTATAATCCCAGCAAAAAGTAGCTAAAAATCAATATTGACGAATATATTCACTTTTGATGTATTTTGAGTATGAGAAATTGCATGGAATATTACAATTTGACCTTAGCTACAGTGCAGATATATTTTTTAATATTTATTGCGTTTTTACTGAAATATTGCGAATTTTGTTAATCGAAATGATTAACTTTTGGCAGAGAATTTCGTATTGTGTCAGATACAGGCTAATTTCATTGAATTATATTTAATATCTTTTTAACCAGTTAGTATTTGTATAATATTATTTGATCAAATATTTCCTCTGTATATAAACTACGTTTTTCCAAATTTTAAACAAATTCTGAATATTATTTCCATGTATTTTTGTCATTTGAATCGACGTGGTTATACGTTTCCCATAAGAACACATGTTAATTCGGTGAAAATTAAAATCCTATAACTTGTAACCGCTTTAGTAAATCGATTTAAAAAATTGTACTGAAGATTCTAAACATATGTAAGAACATTCTATACAATTTTCATTAAGTTCCCAATATTTTGAAAATAAGTACAAGACATCCGTAATTTACATAAATCCAAACTTAATTATTAAACTATCAATGTTTCTATGCAGATTTCAAGACGATCAACATTTTCGTGAAACACACAAGAAATTAAACTTTTATAGGTACATGAATTTGTATAATAATAGCTATTTGTTATTTGTAACAATTTTTGAAAAGATATTGTCATTTTAATTTCATCCAAACAGATAGTAGCTTAGCCCCGTATTAATTTGGCAGGCAAAGAAAAGGAGACTCTAATTGACTTTAAATTATATCGGTACCATATAATCCTCTTATTTATATAGACTTCTTATCTCGTTTGCGTGTTAAAATCTTCGGTTTATGCATAATTGCAACGCGGGAATTGCAAGCAAGGATTTTAATGTTTAATGAGGCGGCGATATTACAGATTAATAAGTTACACAAGCGGGAGCGCTTAATAGGTCATCGCGCGAAATAAAGTGCTTTCTCGGACGAGAAGCCGTTTTCGAGCACGCTCGGGCTTAAAGTGTAGCACGACGACGATGATGATAATAATAATAAAAATAGCTAGAGCCGAGACGGCTATAACGGTTCCTCGGCATCCTACTGCCACACTTACTATACTTACTCATCACCTATCGTACTACGAGCGCATTTCCAGGCGGTACCGCGATGGTAAAGTATTTACATTCGAAGGAGAGGAGAAAAGCGCGTGCCAAAAACCGGATGAAGAAACGAGAAATATTAATCAGTACGCGAAAAGAAACACTTAAATCTTCGAAAAAATGAAGAAACGTGAGAGCCAAGAGAATGGTTGACTGATTTTTATTAATTATTTATTAAAACGTTAATCAGTACGCAAAAACAAACAATTAAATTTTCGAAAAAAAAATGAGAAGAATAATCGATCGATTTTTATAATATTTTTATAATATTTCCGCATAATTTTTATAGAGTTAATTTTTATGCAAGTTTTCATAGGGAATTTGTCGGAGAGAAAATTTTTACAAAGTTAATTAATTTATTAAAATCCTTCCTCTTCTCCTATTATTTAAAAAATATAAATGCACGGAATATATCGTAGTAACATAAAAATTTCAACTGTGCGAGGATTAAGCTCTCGTGTTAATTTATGCGCGACTCGATAGGGAGTTAACCGCGTTCCGTTACGTGGCATATATTAATACGCAGCGAGCGGTGCGATGCACGTTCGCGTGACAAATGAAGAAAGTGCCTCGGGTCCGGGCACATGTACGAAAAGAAAATCCGCTCGAACGGATATTCCTTTTAGGCGCACCTGGCGAAAGTACCTGGTGGTACGTACGCGATACACCTCTCCCGATGTACACATATGTGCGCGTCGCGTGTCAAGCGGTCGTTTGCCGCGTCTTCTCACATGGACTTGCGAAACAATGTTTCGCAAAAGAGAGAAGAAAAAAAAAAGAGAAAAAAAATTTGGTGAAGATGTCACGAGAAATAAGCGACATACAGGGTGTCCCAAAACTCATAATCAATCTATCAAAGACAGATTCCTGGGATCGTTTGCAGACGATTTTTCCTCAGCGAAAATATCGATGAAGGCCATTATTTTTTGCATGTTCCCGATTTTTGTCATCATATATCTTTGCGATTAAGCATTGAATTAAAACTCAACTAAAGTAAACTCTATTTAAAATTAATCGAAGAATGCGGTTTTGTTAATATTTTATTTCTACAAAGCTTAATTTACGAAAAACCTCTTATTTTCAATCATAATTCGAAATTCGAATTATAATTCGAAAATTATTAGTGCCTCGACATTTTTGTTGAGGAAAAATCGTCTTTGGATGATCCCAGGAATCTCTCTTTGGAAGATTGATTATGAGTTTTAGAACATCGTGTACATCCGATTATCTGAAACTGTCACGTCCGAGAATTCTTTAATTTTTCCTAAAGCTTTACTCAGACATTCTACATGTCTGTGATTTATGACAGAATTCAAAATGCACAAAATATAATATATATACACTCGCGGATGTCGCTTCATTTATTTTTTTTCGAATTTCGAAGAATGCACAAATGAATTTAATATGCCTCGAGCTGTCGAGCCAGCGTTTTCTTTGTATCTTTAATTCTTTCTTTCTCTGTCGACAAAGAAGAAAATATGAAAAGAGAGAAAGAAAAAAACAGAGAGAGAAAGAGAACGATGAGACATACGAGAGGGAACAAGAAAGAAAGGCAAGGGGATGCCTTTTAACGGTGCGGGAGAAATTCAATTTGTTATTGCCTGTGGCATGCAAATCGGGCTGCCCTCGATATTTATTGAAAAGGCTTGCATCCTGCTGTAACACATCGCGATGGGATCGATTACCGGAATGCAGAATCGCACGAGAGAGGAGGCTTCTAACTAGCAATTTCGCCCCGCGATTACCGTCTCGTTAGGTATGCTATTTAATTCGCCGATCGCGTGTTCCTATATCGGAGACGCGTGTAATTCGTTTACTATTGATTACGGCAACTTTGTGCATTATTGAGTAGATATCGATCGTATAATTTCATTAAACTTAGATTTCGGTGTCCTACACGCAGAAATTATCTCTACATCTCTCTATTCGCGACAGGAAGGAATTACAAATATTATCCATCTTTCTACAACAGTAATTTAAAGGATTAAATTCATCATTGATATTAAGTTAATTGTATCTCATCTTTCATACTTAATTATCCATTGCGAAGAAATCTACTTGAAAAAAGGTCACATGTTAATTATTAAAATTGAAAGAGCAACATCTCTCTCAAACACAAAATTTTATAGTACAACTTACATGAAAAATGTCATATATTTTAGCCTTGCAACATTTAGTAAACTGAAATAGAACAGGATTTTAGCTGAAATTTTATTATTTCTAATTTATAATTTTATATATTTAGTAAGCTGAAATAGAACAGGATTTTAGCCTTGCAACATTTAGTAAGCTGAAATAGAACAGGATACTTTGAAATATTTATTACTATAAAAATTACGAATAATGATGCATTTGTTGAATTATTTGTTAACAATTATGCGTTTATTTGCATCAAAGATATTTGAATAATTATAATACTTCTTTGTAAAAAATAATACAGTACTATTGAATAAAAATATTGTCGAAGAAAAAAATATCACAATCACGTAATCTTGCACGATTACAAAAGTTTATAATTTGTAATTTATTGGAAATATAAAAAATATAAATAATTTTTGCAACAATATTTCCTTCGCAATACGGAGTTTAATTCCAAGGGATTAAACTCACAGGAATCGAAACGAATAATATTCGCTGAACGTGAAACGTGAGTACAGACCGCAGAGGTCGGGCTTTATATGCATCTCGCGCAATATCTAATTTTGTATCCAACGCTTGTCGAGCAAACTGTCATTTATGAAGGGTCGTTTTTCGCTCGCGTCCGGTCTGCGGGAGAAAATCGCGCGAAAAAGGAGATTCGAGGGAGGAGATTCAGGCGCCGAGAGCGATCCCGAGCAGAATCCTCAAATTCTCCCCCGGAGAAACATATGTCGCGAATATGCGCGATGGCAAGCACGGTTGCTTGGTTGGTTCGCGCAACATCAAGTACGAATCACGACCGCTCGTGTTCGGCTCCTAAAATCCGCTCACGTCTAACCATGGCACATTACATGCAAATGCGAGAGAGAGAAAGGGGAAGATGGAGAGAGTTCGCTTTTCTTTTACGCGCGCGGACCTTTTCGATTGCGCCTTCTAGCACAGTCATTGTCGAATATGCAAGACGATCCGCTGCTGACTCCGATTTTTGCAGGGATAGCGAGACGCCGGAAATGATATATGGATGGTGTGCTGTGCAAAAAATAATGAATTCACTCTAAATCTAAAAAAAAAAAAGAAAATAGACAGCTGATGCGACATGAATATCTGGATTAAAAAAGATCGGTTGAAGGAATGTTTGTGTTGTCAAAATTTCAAATATATTACCCGAGAAAAAAGCTTTATTGACAAGAAAATTAGATTTGATAAACATTAATTTTTTAAAACTCGCTCTTTTTAGAAACAGAATAGATGTCTTATTATCTTCATTATTATCTTCAATATATTAACTTTAGATTACGACGTTTAAAAAATAACGCTTCCAAATCTATGACAAAAATAATATTCTAATTTACAATCAAAATTGAATTGCGATATAATAATTAATGTAATAATATTTTTGTCCAATAATATTATATTTTTTACAAAGGAGTATCGTAATTATATTCAAATATTCTGATGCACAAACAAATGCATAATTATTAATAAACAATATAACAAATGCCTTATCACTTAAAATTTTTTATAAATATCTTAATATCCTTTCCAGATTTATAATAAATGTTGTAAAGGAAAATGACATTTTTCATGTAATTTGTACTGTAAAATTTTCTACGTGTATACGAAAGATGTAACGTTGCTTTTTCACTCTATTCTAATAATTAACATGCGATTTTTCTTTTAATTTATTCCCAATAAATAATTAGTCGAGAATGAATACTTAATTTAGAGGAATTTAATTTTCGATACCAATGTTATGATAAAATGGATAACATTCGTAGCAATCCTTTAATATAAAGCGAGATAATAGAGAGAAATGTAAAAATAATTTCTGTATAGGACATTGACATTTAAGTTTAATTATTACGATCAGAAAAACAAAACAAAATATTACTAATAATAATATCACGTCGAGGAACAAGTAAAAAACAAAGAAACTTTATTTCCGCAGTTATTAAGTTGTTACTTTTTATTCATAAACCTTCTTTCTCGAAGCAGAAACTCACTTGGATGGAAACGTCGATCCATCCTTGAAAAACGCTGCTTCGGATAAGATTGTCATTTTACTCGAGTTCTTTTGAGTACGATATTAGATTTATCCTTAGCTCGCGCGCTCGCTCCTCGGATAGGAGATGTCAAACCACTGAGCAGTAAATAATGAAACGTCGAAAAAAAAAAGAAGACAGAGAGGACATACCTGCGGTGATCGATGACGACAGCGAGAGAACGAGCAGCAGGCAGGTCGACGACACCCACACAACGGCGCAGGCAAGCCCACCGTTGCAGAAATCACGGCGCATCCTCAGCGCATCAAGTAATTTTTGAGCCGGCCGCTATATCTGCAACACAGAGTTGGAGTCTTGATTAAAACGAGCTTCGCAGGCCGTCGCGAATAATCGATGGAAACGCTAATTACGGCTACGAGAGCCGCGTTCGTCGCATTATCCTTCAGGACGAGAACGGAACCTTGCTTTGACGCGATTCGACTCGACGCGACGCGGTCTTAATAAGCCGACGAGCAACGAAGATAAGGTCCGTTGACTTCTTCTTTCTTCCTCGAGTGCACCATTTTCGTGGTAGTATCGATGTAAAGTCACTTCTTTTGCAGTCTCATCGCGAGTCGGAGCTCTCCCCTTTAAGCCACAGGAATAACAATGGGAGTTATGTCTCCTTATTCGTTATGCCGCGGGGAATATTCTAATGCGCTCTCTCCTACGTTATTCATGAGCCGAAGTCGACTTTAGATCTACGAATTGTCAGACCGTTTTCGTTCCTTCTTCGTCTTTTCTCTTCTTCTTCCTCTTCTTTTTACGTCTCGTTACAAGCTCGGCTACGATGTACCCGCTTCTTTTCATCGTCGCGATTATCCGGCCGCGCCCATTGTAATCATCCCGAGATGTTTCTTGGAAGAGTTCGTATAATTAGGATAAAAAAAGAAGATCGTAATAGTCGTATTTCATCGATCATATTAATGTAATTATCGCAATTGCAATGCTAATGTATAGACTGATGATAACATATTGTAAATTTAATGTCACAATATGTCATATGATATAATTCTATCAATTTGAGAAAATATATTATATCATTATCATGTTTTCACATATAATTACATATTTTAAGAAATAAGATTTAAATATTTATAAAACGTGAGAAAAAAATAAATGTATAAATATATTATTGATATAATTAATGATAACGAAAGAAATATCTTTGACGAATAAATATTTCAAACATTCACTTTCGGTATATCTAAAGTCCACATTTTTAATAATCTATAATTCACAAATAAAACATTCAAAACACATATATTCATTTATGTTTTATACATACGTATATGTGTGTGTGTATCTGCTGTGTGAATTTTAATTATTCAAACATTTTTTATATTTGTGACACACAAAACTAAAAATATTGTCATCTATCATAGATCGTCTAAAGGAAACTTTAAAAATGCAATAAATCTTTCTCTTTCTCTCCCACCTCCCTCATATATCCTCCTTATAATGCATCTTACTGCTTCATATATTGATTCATATACGACGATGGCAGGCAAAGCTGTTCGACAGTGAAATTACCGGCGGTTAGATCCTTTGGGAAACCTTCAAATTTAGGATGTAGCCCGACGACATGAATTATGCAACGATAGTAGGATGGCCATGCCACGTCGGTGCATGATGGTAATTACACAGACTGCAATCGCAGTCGAGATTACGCTTATTGGCATTAGCCTGTTGTCAGCTGTCGACCGAGACGTGATTCCTACATATCACAATGCGGCTGACAGATTTCCATCTCGGAAATCCCAGCTCCCTTCTCTGGAGAAGAGCTGTCATCCAAGAGCGTTGAATTCTATTTCTATATTAATATAATTCAATCTATATAATATATTTCATATCTATATTAATATATTTCAATCTATATAAATATATATTTAGATCCGTCTTTAGCAATCTTGCAATTAAGCGAAATTTACAATTAAAGAATATTTATTATTACAAATATATAATGATAAAAAATATAAAAGAATTAAAGAATAATATATTGTCAAATTTAATGTCACTAAACACAATATGTCATATGATATAATTCTATCGATTTAAGAAAATATATTATATCATTATCATGTTTTCAGATGTAATTATATATTTGTATAATTAAAGATTTAAAGAATGATAAAAAATATAATATAATTAAAGAATATTTATTATTACAAATATATAATGATAAAAAATATAAAAATAACATTTTAATCCTTTGTAAAAATATTCGCTCGTATTTAATACGAATAAATTTTATACACATTTTATAATATAAATTCGTTTCGCGCAGGGAACTTTTCGCTAATATTCGTCTGCGCTTTATTTAAGGCACACAGCTTTACTTAAGCCTGTTAATCGACCATGAGAAAATATATGTAGACGGTGAGTACATGAGGTTGGAAGATAAATCCGATTAAAATACGATAAATGTGTGCTTTAGTTTGTAGAATATACCGAATTGAAGAATTAAACGAATTAAAGAATTAAATATAGTCGACTTTATTTAAAATAAATATTTAATAAAATAATAAATTTTATATAAAATAAATAATAAATTTTCTCAACTTTATGATTCATTTTATCAAACTTTTAAAAATTAAATAAATTTATTTCAAATTATTAAAATTGCATAAGATTAATTTTATCAAACTTTCACAAATTTAAGTCAAACATGTTGAATTTTTAGTCATCTAGCTATAACGGAAAGAGGAACAAATCGATCGTAATCGATTAGTCAAATATAATAAAATTATTTTATCGCATCTATATAACTGCATTTTGAATGAAAACGTCATGATTGAGAGATTGAAATATCGAAATGATATAATAGGTCTCTCGAATATAATCTGTATAATTAATTTCGAATATTATACGCTGCGCGAGGTAATTGATGTCGAATCAAGCGTGCAATCGGATCGAGCGCTAACAAGCGGTCCCAAATTTCATTACGTTGGAAATTGCGTATTTTTATATCAACGTCACACATGCACGATCCCATAGTTCTCTGCGTACCAAGTTTCTCTCGAAATATTCTACCACGGTCCACACGTACAAGGTTACTCTCCCACAGTTGATTCACCGGATGTGGGTCATTCGTCGTCATCGAAGTCTTCCTTCCGGGTCTTAGCCTTAGCGCCTTTAACTTTCTATTGTCGTCATGAATTCCCGAATACGTCATCAGGCTCGGTACACTTTCGTGAGGAGAAGAGGAGACGAAAGAGAGAAGACGGATGGGGGAAGATCGACCTTCCTCTTCTCTCCGAGGAAGGAATCTCGCCAGCGAGTGAACGAGAAACAAAGTTGAAATCGCGCCGGATGTATCCAGCATCGAGAAGAGTGGGCCGCGCCGCTCGACACGAAAGGATAAAAAAGAAACACTTTGTATCCTCTTACATTCTTCATGAGTAATATAAGTGGCACGGTCGTATAGTGCGGCTTTTATGGCGACAATATTAGCGCCCGCACGAGCAGCAAATAACTACACGACGTCGCTTCTCCGACATTATTATTACATGCACTCGGAGCATTTCATTATTGAAGCGCACCGGATGTTCCAGCACTTCCAGGCTTGAACTCCGAGCCCGCTCGTTGGCATTTTCCCAAATATATATATATAAAAGATCCTTTCTGAAAAAGAATAAAAAATGCCTGCCAAGTGCATAAATAGTCAAACTCGCGTTTCAAACAAATATGCAACAGGTAGAAAAGCAAGTTGAAAAGAATAAGAAATTATTAAACGCGCTATTATAAAATTATTAGTTTAAAGAGAAATATGAGATCGATGCAATTGAGTAGTTGATGTAATATATTTATACAATGTATAAATTGAGAGAAAATTCCTCGCAAATTGAAAGTCGAATTAAAACAAAATTAAGATCAAAGTAAAATATACAAAAATTTGACGTGCATAGAAAAGCTTTTTCTCCCCCCTTAAACAATATATTTAAATTATTAATATGTAATGAATATATAAAGTATTGATACATGAACTCTACACACATATATATATATATATATATATATATTTATTTATCCTTAGAATAAACAAAACGGTCAAATGCAGTGCAGTACAAACACAAGTGCACATATGTTAATATTGTTGTAGTATACAGGAGTTAATGCCATGCTTTAATTGTACATGCATTTCCAATCTGCAAACAGTATTACAATTGTGCAATGTTGTAATTCAAATGACATTCTCTTTGATATTAATTACAATGGTCAGATTGCTCAGCAGTTTAATATCTCTGAAATATTGATCATACGACTACATTGTATGATTATAATACATTTGCATCTATAATACACGTCACAATTTAAATGTGGAGGAGGAAGCGCTTTAAAATGGATTATCCTATTCACTTTGTAATATATTATTAATATATTTATAATGTAATACTTTCAATATTAAATACAAATATTGTAGACATATCATACTCAATAGTTTAAAAATAATTCATAATCAATAGTTTAAAAATATTAAATTAATAAATAAAACTTGATTTTTATCATAATTTCAATTTTACAAACATTTTAACCACATTTAGTAAAGATATTGAAAGCAATCTTTGACATAAATAAATTATTCAATAGTGTCTGGATGATATGTCATAAATATATAATGACATTCGCTTTTATGTATTTGGTCAACTGCTTTAACAGATCGATCCTTTGTATTTAAAGTCCAAAATATGATTAATTACGCGTTCAACTTTGACATATTTTAATATATCGACGTTTTGGTATTCATATCAATTGATATCTTGATAATCTGATATCTTGATATCTTAAAATATCGTAAAATTTTAAAATTATGGAAAAAATTTAAAAGTAAAATTTTAAAAATACGGAAAAATTAAAGTCTACTTCCACATAGTTATTTAAGTTGATATATATAAAAACTTGAGAAGGAGATATTAGAGTTTGTAAAGCGTTTAATTTTTTGAAAAAGTTTGCTGAGCCTTTCGAAATTAGTATCTCCATTATATCTGCGATTCTACTTGGATAATTTTGACTTTTTATGCCGGAAATTGCGCATTCGAGCACAGAGTGCACCTGGCCGATGGCTGCACAGGAGAAACTCGGAGAAACAGTTATCGCGCGCGAAAGTTATCCCGAACTTCCTTTGTCTTGTTAATGACATTGGTACTTTCCTAGACTCTATCGAAGCATTATATACATACTTAGATATTTGAATATCTCTTGCAAAAAGTGCTACTTTATATTAAATACTTATCTAAATTTATCTAAATTTAATATTTTAAATTTAATATTTTAAATTTAATATTTAATATTTT